GCTGATGCTCTATCCACTGAGCCAAACCGGTTTCGGCTTAACTTTTATTTATTTATTTATTTTTACATTTTAATCAAACTAACTTAAAAAGTTTTAAGCCTTGCCAGTGTGGCTGAACGTCATCAACCCATAAACCAGGAGGTCCTAGTTCCATTCTAGGTCTGAGCGCTTGCCTGGGTTGCAGGCTTGATTGCCAGAATGGGGCGTGCGGGAGGCAGCCAATCAATGATTCCCTCTCATGATTGATGTTTCTCTCTCTCTCCCCCCTTCCACCCTGAAATCCATACAAATTATTTTTTAAAAGTTTTAAAAACTTTGGAAATGATGATCAGTGATTACCTTCTGACTATGAAGTTTCACTTTCTTCCTGGAATTTTAATTACTGGCACTTTGTAACTTAATAGAAACCTTAGGAAGTACCCATAACCAGTACACTCTTTTCACAACCACTCAACAGCACTGGAGAGATCCAGGTTTAAAAAGATGTCCCAATGGCCGAGACCGGTTTGGCTCAGTGGATAGAGCGTCAGCCTGCAGACTGAGGGGTCCCGGGTTCTATTCCAGTCAAGGGCATGTACCTTGGTTGCGGGCATATCCCCGGTGGGGGGTGTGCAAGAGGCAGCTGATTGATGACTCTCTCTTGATGTTTCTAACTCTCTCTCCCTTCCTCTCAGTAAAAAAACACACAATAAAATATTTTAAAAAAATGTCCCAGCGTTTTCACTTTCTTTTTTTTTTTCAAATATATTTTTTTATTGACTTTGTACAGAGAGGAAGGGAGAGAGATAGAAAGCTAGAAACATCGATGAGAGAGAATCATCGATCAGCTGCCTCTTGCACACCCCCTACTGGGGATGTGCCCGCAACCAAGGTACATGCTCTTGACCAGAATTGAACCCAGGTCCTTTCAGTCCCCAAGCCGACGATCTATCCATTGAGCCAAACCGGTCTCAGCCCAGCGTTTTCACTTTCATAATTAGGTTTTGTCCTCCTTTCCAGTGGGGCTGAGGCCGTGTCCTCATTCCCTAAGACAGAGGGTTCACACGGCACAGGAGAAGCTGCTAAACAAAGAAGCGGGCACCAGCCTCTCCCGTGTAGGTTCTGACGACATTTCAGTCACCCAACTTCCTTTTTCCATAAATAGCAGGACTGGCGGTGGTGTTCCTCCTTTGTAACATTTTTAACCATTTCAAAGGACTTTCGGGGTTGGCTTCCAGCTGCAGAACTACCAGCAGTGGTAACTTTTTTTTTTTTTTTTAAAATATATTTTACTGACTTTTTACAGAGAGGGAGAGGATATTTAGAAACATCGATGAGAGAGAATCATCCATCAGCTGCCTCCTGCACACCCTCTCCTGGGGATGTGCCCGCAACCAATGTACATGCCGTTGACTGGAATCGAACCCGAGACCTTTCAGTCCGCAGGCCAGCGCTCCATCCACTGTGCCACACCGGCTTCAGCAGCAGTGGTCACTCTCAACCCCCTGCCGACGGGGGGCTGTGCTTTGTGCGCGGGTTTCAGTGGCAAAGTGTCCAGGACCTGCCCTTGTCGCAGCAAAGGAAGAAGCCTCGGAGAACACCCCTGGGCCACGCTACCCGCCTTCCTCCCTCCACCCCCGTGGCCATCAGCCCTCCCTGGCTGCTCCTCCCTGACAAAGCAAGTCCAGCTCGGGGTGCGGGCTCCGGAGCTCCCGGGGGTAATTGCACCCCCAACGCGGAGGACGTGGGGACCCCGAGGCCGGCCGCCCAGAGGTCAGAGCCCGGCTGGGGCAGCCGATGAAGCAGGTCCCTACGGGCCCGCCAGGAAACTGGACAGCGGCCTAACTCCTCCGCCACCGGTTTCCCAGGGGTCCACACCGCGTCCCTCTCTAAGCGGCTCCGAGGCAGCCGGACGCACGCCCCCCGGACAGAAGGCGGGGCATGGCCGGCCCGGCTCGCGGGCCAGCGGGCCATCACGTCCTCCCGGTGACCCCCTCCACCCGAGGGGTCGCGGGCCCTGCTGCCTGAGGCCGCGGGGCCGGACAGAGGGAGGAGGGAGCGGACCCGCGGGGCGGACAGCAGGGCGGGAGGAAGTGGCCGCTCCTTCGCCGCCGCGCGCCCCACTTCCGGCCCCTCCCTGCCCCACTGCGCAAGCGCGGGAGAGGCGGGCGCGTGGGGGCGGGGAGACCAGTCGGGGCCGCGGCGCCGGGGGAGGAGGAGCGCGCGTGCGCGTGCGCGCGAGCGTGCGCGCGTGCGAGGGGGCGTGGCCCGCGGCACGCCGTGCGCGAGGCGGATGTCCGGGTCGGCTGGGCCGGGGCCGCGGACGAGATGGCGGAAGGCGGAGGCTCCGGGGAGCGACCAGACGCGGAGACCCAGAAGTCCGAGCTCGGGGCCTTGATGAAGACCACGCTCCAGCGGGGGGCGCAGTGGTGAGCGCCGGGCTCCCCTCGCCGCCGCGCGGGGTCGGGGTCCGTCCCCGGCGCTCAGGCCGGGCCCCTCTTTCCGGCTCGGGTAGCGGCCCGGCGGGGGCGATGCCGGTGGTCCTGAGGACAGCGCCGGCCCGGCCCCTCGGGGCGGGACTGAGCTCACTCCCGGGGCGGCGTGGGCGGAGCTGAAGGTCGTCCCGGCTCTCGGGGACCCGGGGCGGGCCCGGCGGGGAGAGGGCCGCAGGAGGGGACCGGGGCGTGAGGGCTCTCCGGGACCTTCAGGGCGAGGACAGCCCTCTCCCCCGAGGACTCGCCGAGTGACCTTGGGGGAAGGCGCCCACACCGCCCGGCCGGCCTTCTATTCGGAGCGCCCCCCGCCGCCCCGGGTGAGCGAGGAGCAGAGAAGATACTTAGTAACTTGTACTGCGGAGCCGGTGTCAAGGGCTGAAGCCGAACCCTGGGTGCGAGCTGCAGCCGGTTTTAGTAGCAAATGCCGAAAGCCATGTGGCCGCAGCCCCGGGAGCCCAGAGAAGAGGACGACGAACCGCCCGGCACCGAGAGGAGCCGGAGGCCGGATCCCGGAGAAGTTGTTTAGTGGAAGGGGCGGCCCCCCCGAGGGAAGAGGCTTCTGGGCGATGTTTCTGTGGGACCAGGACCGGCTGGCGCTGCGGGCGGCCCTCCAGGAACCGGGGCGGCGGCGGTAACCTCTCCCGGTGACAGGGAGGTGAGGAGGGAGGAGAGGAGAGACGCTGGCATTAGCAGGAATTCACATGCGGCTCTAGTGTTCTTGAAAGACAGGGCAAGCGGAGGCATTTACATTTATTTTATTATTATTATTATTGGTTTTAGGGAAAGGAAGGGTGAGAGTGAGAGAAACACCGGTGTGTGAGAGAGAGAGAAAGAGAGAGAGAGACACCAATCTGCTGCCCCCTGCAAGGGCCTTGACGGGGCAGCCTGGCCCGGTGCCCTGCGGGGGAGTGGGACCCGCCACCTTTTGGTGAACAGGACGGCTCTCCAGCCAAGCGAGCCCCAGCGGCCAGGGCAGCAGAGTCACTGAGAAGGCACCCTGCAAACGGTGATTCCTAAAGAATGCTCGGTAAAAGCAGAGGAAGTGTGAGGGAGACTAAACTCACACAGCACTTGGAGGGAAAGAGCATTTTAGAGATCTGGATGTATTTATGCGTCCTTCCGGCCATAAATAAAACTTGAAGGGCCCGCCGATATGAATGTTGTGCTTTGTTTGATCACAGGTGTTTTCCTCTCCTTCTGTCTTATTTGTAAAACAACACAGGGGTACTTTTAAAATATAACCAGATCAACTCGTTTTTTTGGCAAGGTAAATGTACCTATTGGTGTGTGTATGTGTGTATGTCTACATATATACAGACATACAACTCTTAAAAAAGTGTATCTTGTTTGGTCTTCAAAGGACTTCTGAAGTGCAGGATGTTATTATCCCACTTTCAGAAAGAAAGTTAGTTTAATGCCGTTTGTGTCAAGCAAAGCAGTGTAACCCAATTGTTTAACTGGAAGAGAACCTCTATAAAATCATTATGAAATTAGTGACTTGATCATTGGCAAACAAGGTTTTATCTATAGAAATATTTCCTCTAAATAAGCATTTTGAAACCAATCATTTCCTTCCTTTCATTTATTCACTCTTTCAACAATCATTTCACTTACTGGGTAGTATAGATGAGCTCTGTGCTCTGTGGGGCCTGGCCCCACTCCTGTTGGAGATGATTTTTTTAGTGGGGATTCGCTTGCTCCTCAAATGGAAAGTCCGTGAAAAACCTGAGGGGTCAGCTGCAGAAACTTACCACCTCAGCTCCTCTGGTGCAGTAAATCTCTGCCTCTCTCCAGGTATCTGATTGACAACCGGTGGTTCAAACAGTGGAAGAAGTACGTGGGCTTCGACAGCTGGGACGTGTACAACGTGGGCGAGCACAACATGTTTCCTGGCCCCATCGACAACTCCGGACTCTTCTCAGGTGCAGTCTCCTGTCTCTTTCCTCTCTTTCTGCTTGCTTTCTGTAGGACAGACATTTGTTAAAGCCGGGACAGTGACAGGACGTGCTTACGGGGGAGCAGCAGCCGCAGAGCCCGGCAGGGCTGCTTTGACTTGGGAGGGAATGTTTTCAGGCGGGGCTGATGCCTCACTGGGAAGTCAGAGAAAGGGGGCCGAGGAGACAGGTTCGGGGAGTCAGCCCAGGACAAGCTGCCCCTGCCTTTGCGCCCCCGGTTGCAAGTCCTGGGGGAACCCTTCTGAGAGTTCAGGGGCTGCTCGCCTGAGATGAAGGCAGAGTGTGGGTGCTCCCGGGAGGGCGATCGCTCCTGTTGCTTTTCTTTCTTTGTAAATTGGTTTTTAGATAAAAAGGAGAAGGGAGAGGGAGAGAGAGAACATTAATAAGAGAGACACATCGATCGGCTGCTTCCTGCACGCCCCCTCTGTGGATGGAGCCCGAAACCTGGGCCTGTGCCCTGACCAGGAATCGAACCCTGACCTCCTAGTCTATTGGGCGGTGCTCAGTTCACTGAGCCACACGAGCTGAGCTCCCGTGGCTTTTCTAAGTGGTGTCATTTGGGCAGTGGCCAGGGGTCACGTCTATGTGTAACACGGACAGTGTGAACTGACGTTCTCCTGTGGGGATACAGTGTTTTCTGTTTGTGTCTGTAGTAGGACTTTACAGACCTTCAGGGAGAAGCTCAGTTGGTTTCATCTTCAATTAACTACTGCTAGCAAGGGCATGCTTCTACTATTTAAAATCTCTCTCTCTCTCTCTCTCTCTCTCTCTCTCTCTCTTTTCAAACTAGTTCTGCTAGAGATTTTATTTTATTTTTATTAATTTTTTTCAATTAGCAATAATCACGCCTCGGCTAAACCCCATTGACTAGGATGCTCCCACTGCACAAAGCCTGCTAGGGATTGTAGGTTAGTATATGGAGTAGAAAGAAACGGTATTTTGCAATTACATCTGGAATCTGGAAATTGAGAACCAGAATTTTTTTTTACAATTTCTTTTTAATATATTTTATTGACTTTTTTTTTACAGAGAGGAATAGAGAGGGCTAGAGAGTTAGAAACATTGATGAGAAAGAATCATCGATCAGCTGCCTCTTGCACACCCCCTACTGGGGATGTGCCTGCAACCAAGGTACATGCCCTTGACCAGAATTGAACCCGGGACCCTCCAGTCCACAGGCCGATGCTCTATCCACTGAGCCAAACCGGTTTCGGCTGAGAACCAGAATTTTCTTTGTTACCTTAACTGTGGAACAAGCTGTAGACTTTTTGTGATGCTGCTTGTTAGAGAGGTAGGATGAGGAGAGACTGGAGTCAGCTCCGAATGGACGAAGCGACTGGATTGGAAAAGCGATGGACGACTCGCCTGAGCTCAGCTGGCACCTGGGTCTGCACAGAGATGGGGCAGCCTTCCCCCACTTGGTGCTGCCTGGTGCTAGACGCCCTTGCAGGCAGGACGCATAGAGAGGCGCCTGTCTCCTGTGCCCAGAATCAAGGCAGCAGGAAGGCAGGCAGCGGGTGAGGTTGGATCAGGGACCTCGTACTAGTAACCTGGTGCTTTTAAAATGAGCGGTGCTGGGGCTCAGTCCTCACTGAGGGGAGCCTAAGTTATATAACAAACCACGCCAGGTGCTTTGTTTCCCGAACTAGGTCACAGAACCGCTTCTTACCGTGAAGCGGCCTCAGGGGATCATTGCAAAAATGTCTGCACTGCATCCTTTTCTCTTGTTTTAAAGGGAGAATGCTTTTTCATTTTTTTTTTTTTAAATTTATTGATCTTTTTTTTTTTTTTTAGAGAGAGAAGGGAGAGATCCCCAGTTGGGGAAGTGTGGAAGTGGTTGATGGGTGGTTCTCTCTCATCATTGATGTTTCTGTCTCCCTCTTCCTTCCTCTCTGAAGTAATAATAAAAAAGAAGGGGAGAGAAGAGAGTGAGAAAGAAAAACATTGTTTTCCCACCCCTTATGCATTCGTTGATTCTTCTTGTATGTGCCCTGATTGGGCATCAAACCTGCAACCTTGGCTATCAGGATGATGCTCCAGACCTACCAACCAGGGCTGAAGGGGACTCATACAGCTTCTAAGAGTGATAGAGATGAGATCCTGGAGCTGGGGGGGCTCTGGGAAGGTGTGCCACGTGACCTTCACCTAGGGGCACACACTCCTTTTGTGGCCCCCAATTTGGCTTTGGCTTGAAGCACTTGCTGTGTACTTGGGAAGTGAGAAGTACATTCCGTTTAAACTCGGTGACACTGACAGTGCAGGCATGACCTATCTAGGGCAAATGAGGGTACCCCTTCCTTCCCAGGTTCTCAGTCACGTGCCAGGCCCTGTGGCTGCCTTCCACCGCGCTCCTGGGAGTGACTTGGAAGGGACTTGGAAAGTGTGGCAAGTTGGCGGTAGAGCATATCTGGGCTGGCACTGCCTACAGAGCACCCTTCTCCCCGTGCTCCCCTTCTCCCCTGCTCCCGCTAGGCATCAGAGGGACGCCTCTGCTTCGACTGACGTGCTCTCATCTTCCTTCCCTGTTTGCCTCTCTGTTGAAGACGGTTGCAGAGGCTAAATGTTCATTTCAAACCCATGTGATTTTTAGCATGATGCCCTTGAACCGGTCCAGTTTTTTATTTATTTTTTTATTTTTTTAAATTTTATTAAATTATTATCTGTGTACATATTTTAACATTGCTCCCCCCCCCCCATACATACCCTCCCTTCCCAGAGTTTTGTGTCCATTGGTTGTACTTATATGCATGTCTACAAGTCCTTGGTTGATCTATTATCTCCCCCAGATCTCCCTACCCTACCTGCTGTAATTTGACAGTCTGCTTGTTGCTTTACTGTTTCTATATCTGTCTTTTGGCTCATCAGTTTATAATGTTCTTTATTATCCATACATGAGTGAGGTCATGTGGTGTCTCTCTTTCATTGACTGGCTTTTTTCACTCAGCGTGATGCTCTCCACTTCCGTCCAGGTTGCTGCAGATGATGAGAATTCCTTCCAGTTTTAAGTGAAACTAGTGAACTGCATTGAAAATCCCAGTGAAGCTTTCTACATTTGCAGTGCAGCAGCATAAGAAAGAAGCATTTGGGAAGATTGTCATTGAGCCTCAGGGAAAAGAGCCCTATAGAACTACTGTAGGTGGGGTTGATGATGCTGAAGGCTGTTGGTTCCTTGATTGATTTGAGAGAGAGGGGAAAGAAGAGAATGAAACATTAGTTCACTGTTCCACCCATCCATGCGTTCATTAATTGATTCCAGTATGTGCCTTGGCAGGACCAAACCCCGAACCACTGAGCTAACTGACCAGGGCTCCTTTCCACTGTAAAGGCTCTGGCTGCTGTTGGCACAGTTTGGGTGGCCAGATCTGTATGGTGTGAGAAATAAGATAATAGTGAATAACTTTGAACTTTCATACTTTTTTAATTTATAAATTAGACAGTTTTGGAATTTAGGTATCAATTAAAAAATTATTTTTATTGATTTCCGAGAGGAAGGGGAAGGGGGAGAGAGAGAGAGAAAGAGAGAGAGAGAGAGAGAGAGAGAGAGAGAGAGAGAGAGAGAGAGAGAGAGAGAAACACCAATGATGAGAGAGAATCATGGATTGGCAGCCTCCTGCACACTCCACACTGAGGATCGAGCCTGCAACCCGGGCATGTGCCCTTGACGGATTTGAACCTGGGACCCTTCAATCCGCAGGCCAACCTCTATCCACTGAGCCAAACAGGATTGGCAGATATCAGTGTTTGGGAGGAATCTCCTGGAACCCCAGGACCCCCTTCTGTTGATGAAAAGAAAAAGTGTGTGGTCTGTCAGTGTTAACCCTCAGGCCACAGCTGCTGTGGAAAGTGGTTGGCTCATCGCTGAGGACTATCCACTCTTTTTAAAAGAAATCTCTTGATTGGGGGTTGTTTTTTTTAGAAAGAGAGAGAAACATTGATTTGTTGTTCACTTTTTTATGCGTTCATTGATTGCTTTTTATATGTGCGGGATCGAATCCCCAACTGGTGTATCAGGACAATCTCTAACCAACTGAGCTACCCAACCAGGACCCCCTTTTTGTTTTAAATTGTAGTAAAATACACGTAAGACTTATCATCTTAACCATTTCTCAAAAATATGTTTTTATTGACTTCTCTCTCATCATTGATGTTTCTATCTTTCCCTCTCTTCCTCTCAGAAATCAATTAAAAAAAAATATATATATATATGAAAACTGCGTGTGCTCAATGACTCTTGGTGAATAAGCTTAACCTCAGTGACTTGCTTGTTGCTTTCTTAGTAAGTCTTTAGGGGAAGATGATATCTGACCTTAATGCAGATTCACTATGCAGAATATTATGTTAAATATTCAGAATAATGAGCCATTTTAAATGTGGAAGTACTTTGGAAATGTAAATTGGAGCTTTTCTCTTTTAACCTCTTAGAAGGAATACCAGTGTCTCATAAAATGTTCAGAAAACATGGCTAGAGACCCAGGATAGTCAGATTTGCTCTATTCTGGCCAGTGACAGAATTTTATAAGTTTTCCTGTTCTTAGAAATACTTTTCTGGTTTCTAAAAAAGACATAAGAATCATGTAAAACAAACATTTCTGAGCGGAAGAGCAGTGAATTATAACCTGTTTACTCTTTTCAGATCTTGAGAATCAGACCCTGAAAGAACATTTAATCGATGAGTTAGACTACGTATTGGTCCCAACTGAGGCCTGGAATAAGCTGATAGACTGGTATGGCTGCATCGAAGGCCAGCAGCCCATCGCCAGGAAAGTGAGTACATGCACACTCACACGTGCTAGTCAGTCTCCCTGCTCCCTGGGGGCATGGTGTCGGGTCTGCAGTGCTGGTGGCCTAAGGGGTTGGATGGAGGTGTTGGAGGCCTTGGTTCTGGTTCTGTCGGGAACTGTGGTGTGAGTGGTGGTGAGGAGGCTGCTCACCCGGATGGCACAGTGCGTGGCCTTCACCAGCAGAGCGGGCAGAGGCGTGGGCTGTGCTCACGCTGCCATGGGAACGGCTGTATGAGCAGGTTCCCGTGGGGTCATGTGGGCATGTGGAATGCACTGCTTGTTTATCTCAGCCTTGCTGATCCTCCTGCTTTCCCCGTGCCTACGCGTCTGTGCCACACTGTGACCATCTCAAAAGCCAGGTGTTCATAACCGGAGAGGAACAGCCTCTGGAAGGCAGGCAGTCCCTGGGATAAAAGCCCAGATTGGTACCCCTCAGGCAGACAGGACTCCGGAGAAGACCCCTCTCCGATGCCCACCTGGAGTTGGCTTGTCCTACCAGGGCTGAGCCTGCTGAGAGGCGCTAGTAGGCACCAGGTGACCTGCCTGGTGAGGTGCTCCCTCCTTGCAGAGGAGGGCAGAGCTGTGGTCCCGAAGCCAGGCTTCTGAGTCAGAGGCCAGAGCTCCCTCCTTTCTCTCCAGCTTGGAACCTGGAACCTGGAAAGGGGTTAGGACCAAAGTTGAGGCGCGTGCCGGCTTCCCGCAGAAGCCCCCACTGCCAGTGCTGCCGTGTGGCGATGTGCCGCCAAGGGCTTCAGCCACAGGCTCTAGTCCCCTGACTGACGGGCGCCCGTGACTCCGGGAGGCGCCGCGATCCCCGCTCGGCGTGAACAGTGGGCCCGTTGCGCGGTGCCGGTGCTGGCTGTGGTTCCGCCATGTGCTCTTGGTTGGCCCTCGTGCGTGGAGAGGGTTTTAACCCTCGGCCAGATGCCAGTGGCGTAAACATCTGACCCCTGGCTCTGCTGGCCGCTGGAGGGAAGCGCTTGTCGGGCGGAGCTCCGGGCTGTGCAGGGTGCCGCCCTCACGTGCCTCTCCCCAGGTCGTGGAGTACGGCCTGTTTGTCAAGCACTGCAAGGTGGAGGTGTACCTGCTGGAGCTGAAGCTGTGCGAGCACAGCGACCCCAACAATGTGCTGAGCTGCCATTTCAGCAAGGCAGACACCATCGGTGAGCGGGCCGGCCGCAGGCGGGGGAGGGGAGAGGGTGCCTCCTCAGACGTGTCACCAGGTTGTCTTGGGTTGTGGTTACTGTCCTGGCTGGGAGCTGCTCCCCGGACTGTTACTGGGGGGAGCTAAGCCTGAGAGTCATCTTCTCAGAACACCAGGCATGTCCCTGCCCGCCTGACATCTGTGGTAGAGAGTAAGAACGTGGATTCAGAGAGCTGAGCGTAACTCACTGAGCAGTCTCAGTGAGACCGGGACAGAGCGGAGTGTTGGAAACCAGAGCTGCCTCACTCCAGAGACGAGGTCTCCCTTCTCGAGGCTGCTCTGTGCTATAAATGGGACCAGTCACCAGAGAAGGACAAGTGCAGGGAACATTTCCAGGCCTGAGGCAAGAGGTTGGCCTGAGGTCAGTCAGCGTTTGGTCAGGAGCGCCCCGTGGCCTTGGGAAGGACGGAGGGGCGTTTGCTGGCCAGGGCTGGGTACCTGCCCTCGGAGCCAGCGCAGCCTCCTGCCTGTCCGCAGCCACCATCGAGAAGGAGATGCGGAAGCTGTTCGACATCCCCGCGGAGCGGGAGACGCGGCTGTGGAACAAGTACATGAGCAACACCTACGAGCAGCTGAGCAAGCTCGACAACACCGTCCAGGACGCGGGGCTGTACCAGGGGCAGGTAGGAGGCCAGGCTGCCCAGCGGGCAGCTCAGCCGGGGGCGGGGGCAGTGCCAGGCGCCTTCGGCTCTGAGCATGGCCGGAGGGAGGGGTTCGAACATCCCATACGTGGCTCTCCTTTTCTCCCAGGTGCTAGTCATTGAGTCCCAAAATGAGGATGGCACGTGGCCGAGGCAGACCCTGCAGTCAAAGTAAGTGGACGTTTCTCCCGGCGACCGGGCACCGGGTGTGAGAGACACTCCTGAGGCAGTGGCTTAGGCTGAGAAAATGCTTCCTAGATGGACATACGTTTGGTTTTATAGCTGAGCCTGTGGTCCGGGCTGCAGGCGCCGGCCTTCGCTGGGCAGCGTCTGGGCAGCCGCCCGCGGGCGAGCAGGCAGGTGTGAGGGAGGCAGGAGGCGGTTTGTTGGTGTCGGGGCTCGGGCCCTGTCTCAGGAGGAGCCGTGCGGGGTGGGACTGTGCGTGTCGAGAGGGCGGCAGCGGAGGGGGGTTTTCTCATGGCGTAGCTCGGGGCAGCGTGTGCTCTCACGGTCAGGGGACGGCGTTGGTCTTGACTCCCTTTCCTCAGTCGGGCCTGGGCAGTGCCTGGTGCATAGTGATGGTTCACTGCTCCTTTGAGAATCGAGGTTTATGGTTGATCTCAGCCACAGGGCCAGATCGACCGACTCGCAGTCCCTCTGAAGGCCCCTGCGCAGGGGGAAGGCCCGTGTTCCCGAAGCGGCGATGTGAGTGCGCACGTGGGCGACAGTGCTGGGGGCACCGCTTAGCGCAGTGGAGGCAGCGATGGTGCCGCGAGCTGGGCTCCGGGTGCTGAGGCCAGTCCTCAGGGGCCTCATCCCACGAGCCTCGTGCGGTCTGGAGGGCATCTGAGGGCGAACGGGGCAGCGGAGCAAGGGGCGCAGGCTGCGCGTGTCAGGCCAACCACTGGGCTCCCGCTGGGCTCGGGGCACGCGTGACGACGCCGACGGACGTGGACGGAGCAGGACAGACCTGGTGGAAGGGCCGGCGGCCGGTGTCCTGTGGGTGCAGCCTGTGTCTCAGTGTTGGCGGCGGGAGACGCACACGGAGGGGAGGCCTCCCTCGCGAACGGTGCACCTGAGTCCGGTGTCCCGGCGGCAGCGCCCCGCATGTGCTGTGAGGCCTGAGGACGAATGCCGGTGCCCAGGCGTTTTCTACACACACGTCACTTTTCTGCACACGGGTCTTGCGTTTGATTTGTCAAGGGTGTAGTTTAAAAAGAACTTTGTATCATGTACGTTTTGAGCAAATCAAACGGTATCTTTGTGTATATTCATCACTAGGTTTCTTTTCAACTGAATTTACTCTGAAAATTACTGACAGTATTTTCTAGAACAATTTAATCAAATGTCAAATAAAATTTTGCATTTTTTTTTCTTTCTTTCATTTCATCCAGAAAATGGATAGGTCTTAGATACATGTAATTGGTTTATAAGGATCTTTGAAGTTCAAGGGAACAGCCCGGCCAGTGTAGCGCTGGGTTGGAGCGTCATCCCACCTACTGGAGGGTTCGATTCCTGACCACGACGTGCACCTGGGCTGTAGGCTTGATCCCGAGTCAGAGTGTGTGTGGGAGCCAAACGATCCATGTAACTCTCACATCGATGTTTCTCTCTTTTTCTCTCTCTGTCTCTGTTTCTCTCTCTCTTTTTCTCTCTCTAAAATAAAAACAAACAAACAAAAATTAAAGGGAATAACCCGTAAATAATTACTAGAAAGGGGGTGTTAGACCACACACCATGATGCCGTGTATGTCAGAATTTGCCCTCCGCTCTCCGGTACCGGTTTCCGCCCCCGAGGTCACGGAGGCTGCCACATCAGACCAGCCCTGGGTAGTGACTTTCGCTGGCATAGGAGACGGGGAGCCTGCACCCGGGCTAAACCGAAACGTGTGCCTGGGCACCTGCGTGGTCAGAAAGTGTCCTGGCTGTGATGGGTCCCCCTTCACGGGCGTCCTGGAGTTCTTGGACTCCTTTGCAGCACGAGGATAAGGCTGTGTGAGTGCGGCTGGTGGTTGTCAGGTTAGAGAAGGCGGGGAGGTGAGAGTCTGGGGGCCGCCTCTCCCTCTCCTCCCTCTCCCTCACTGTGACTCCAGAGTGTGGAGCAGAACTCAGTTCCCTTTGGGCCCAGGTGGCTTCCTGACCTCTGCCCACTGCTGCCCGGGCACAGATAGGACCGCTCCTTATCTCTGCTGCCATATTTCGCCTTCTCACAGGAACCCTGGCTGGCACCAGCTCCCATGACTTGGGCAGGGTGCTATGACTGGGTGCTCTTGTCAGTTTCTGTACTCTAAAAATAACCCCAGTCTGGACGGAGAGCCATCCTGTACACTTGGACACAGGACACAGTGCAGAATGACTCCCTTTTCTCCTGCATATTTTTATGTGGGTTTTAGTAGAAAATGGATAAAATGGGAATCTATTGACTATTTGGGGCAATTTGAATTAACCTGGAAGTGGGAATAAATCTAAAATAAGATGCTGTGAAAAATATTCGTGCAAGAATAGGCCTTCCTTCCCCTGGCTTCGCTCCCGGCTGCCCAGGAGCCTGCAAGTCCTCCCTCCCGGCCAGAGCACCCTCCTGTAGCTCCTTCGCACCCCCTACATTCCCCATAGCAGGCATCCTATTTGGCCACTCCATGCCTGCATATGCAAATTAGCCCTCCATCTTTGTCAGGTTAATTTGCATACCAACTCCTGATTGGCTGTGGGTGTTTGTCTATTATTAGGTAAGATGAGTTTGGTGAAATAGGCTCCTCGCATTTGGTGAATTTGCAGAAACCAAAGCATTCCCCTTGCATAGTGAAAGCAAATTGCCATTTCTGTTCTGGTGTCCTTAGGGCCAGCTGTTTGGTTTGGGTTGAGTATTTTTGGGATAATTCATCTCTGTGCTATTTTTCCATATCTTTCACTGATAACTCTTAAAATTTAGTGAAGCTCACGATTTATAAATCAAACTGAACCCTGAAGATCAAACTTGTGGTTTATTCTACTGAAAGATTCAGTATATGACCAGGTGGTTGAATGATCAATTAATTGCTTGAAAATAGGCCTTTTTTTTAAAAAAAAAATATATTTTATTGATTTTTTTTTACAGAGAGGAAGAGAGAGGGATAGAGAGTCAGAAACATTGATGAGAGAGAAACATTGATCACCTGCCTTCTGCACACCCCCCACTGGGGATGTGCCTGCAACCAAGGTGCATGCTCTTAACCGGAATCGAACCCGGGACCTTTCAGTCCGCAGGCCGACACCCCATCCACTGAGCCAAACTGGTTTTGGCAAAACTAGGCTTTTTGCAATTTAATTGAATATGGAGAACATCTATGTCTTTATTTATTTAAATGTTCTTATTGATTTCAGAGGAAGGGAGAGAGAGAAACATCAGAGGATGGGGGAGAATCATTGACGGGCTGCCTCCTCACGCCCCCTCCGGAGACCCAGCCTGAAGCCTGGGCGGGGCCCTGGCAGAACGGCACTGCGGCCGCTGAGCCACAGCCGCGGGCACGAGCACATTGTTTCTGAGAGGAGACCTAAGGCATTGAGCGGGGCTTGCTTTTTGCTAAAAGTCAGTAGCGTTGTTTCTGCTTCTCTTTCCCAGATCAAGCACTGCGCCTAGCAGAAATCTCACTGCCTCTCCAAAGTCATCAGCGAGTCCCTATTCCTCTGTGTCTGCCTCTCCCATTGCAAATGGTGATAGCACTAACACCTCTGGGATGCACAGTTCCGGTGTCGGCAGGGGGTAAGAGCAGGCCCTTTCACCCGGCTCCCCCCGAGTCCTTCTGCGCTCTCGCCGCTGCACTAAGCTCGGGGCAGGGCCCCACCGGCCCGCTGCTGTGGCTTCTCGCTCCACTTCCTGCTCACAGTGAGGGCCGCCTGTACTGACTTGTCACTTGTTCTCCCACCCGCGGGCGTTGTCGCACAGCCTGTCACTGGGGGTCACGGGGTCGCTGGGAAGGAAGGGCTGGCCGGGCAGCGGCGCTCTGAGGGTGACGGCTGTGGGAGAGCCCTGCCTTTCCCCTGGGGACGGCTGCGATCCTTTCCACGCGGCTCAGAGCCTCTGCCACACAGCACCCACGGCGGCCCGCCCTCAGCGCAGGCAGGGCAGTGTGGCCGGAGTGGTGGCAGCTGCGAGCCCCGGATCGCGGTAGCCACGGCAATCTTTCCGGAACTCACCTGGCATTGCCTTCTGGAGGAATACACAATTAGCTCTGCCACAGCCTGGAAGGGGGGGTTCAAATAGCATTTCTCCTCCTCAGGATGTGTGGCCGCCTGCTAGCCTGCCACACCAATGGCAGGGGTGGGGGGGCTGCAGGGAGGAGAGAGCTTGTCTCCTGGGGTTATTAACAGACGAGAGCTCAGAGGCCCTGGCGCAGCCCTGAGGGCGCGCGTGTGGCGCCCTCCTTACTGGTGACGTGCGTTGTGTTTTCCAGTGGCTCTGGCTTCTCTGCTTCGTATAATTGTCAGGAGCCGCCATCGCCTCAGGTCCATCCCGGGCTCTGCGGACTCGGAAACCTGGGGAACACCTGCTTCATGAACTCTGCTTTGCAGGTAAAGGGGCGCTTCCGTCTGTGCCAGTGCGTGGACTGGGGCAGGAGTGGCCTGCAGGGTGCCCACTGGCGTGGCCTCCGGGGAGGCTGTGCCTCTGGTGAGCCTTCAGGGAGCGTGCCACCGGTGTGGCCCTGGCGGCCCTTTGTTCGGGTGCGCTCCAGCAGAGTCAGCTGCGCCCGCTCTCTTCCAGTGCCTGAGCAATACCGCGCCCCTGACGGACTACTTCCTCCAGGATGAGTACGAGGCCGAGATCAACAGAGACAACCCCCTGGGGATGAAGGGCGAGATCGCAGAGGCCTACGCCGAGCTCATCAAGCAGATGTGGTCTGGGAGGGACGCGCACGTGGCGCCTCGCATGTTCAAGGTCGGTGGATGTGTATGCTCCCGCCCCCGTGGGAGGGGAGACTGGTTTCATGTGGGAGGAGGCCTTCTTTTGCTTGCCTTTGAGACTAAGATGGAACCTGAGCCTGGCCAGTGTGAGCCAGTGGTCAGTGTTGACCTAAGAACCAGGTCACGGTTCGATCCCTGATCAGAGCATATGCTGGGCTGCGGTATGGGGTGTGTAGAGGACAGCTGATTTATGATTCTCTCTCATCATTGATGTTTGTCTCTCTCTCCCTCTCCCTTCCTCTCTGAAATCAATAGAAATATAATTTCTTAAAAAAAGATGCAGTCTGAGACTAGAGACATCACATGATCAGATTCTTCTTTCCCCTTGGTCAGCCATTCAGTGCATTTATCCTAAGTGGCCTCAGCCCTGTCGCTGGGCTGGGGTACTTGAGAAGTCATTTATAAGCTTGTTGCTCAGAATGCTGCATTCTGTGGCACCAGTTTTTAAACGGCCAGCAGCTTAAGCCGGACCACAAAAGTTCAAGTTAAGTTCCAGTGTCATCTGCAGGCTGCTCCCAGGTCTCTGAGCCTGGAACCTGTACCCATAGTGCTTTGAGGTGAGCCTCCTGAGTTAGGAATTGGGTTGGCATTATTGGAAGGTGATGTGAGGCAGCGAAAGATTAGGAGGCCTGGCCAGTGTTGCTCAGTGGTTTGATTACCACTCTGCACATACCAAGGCTGTGGGCTTGATCCCGTGTGGGGCGTGCAGGAGGCAGCAGATTTATTATTCTCTTGCATTTCTCTCTCTCTCCCTCTCTCTCTTCTTCTCTTCCTTCTTCTCTCTCTTTCTTCCCTCTGAAATCAATAAAAATATCTTAAAAAGAAGATTGAGGAGGAGATGGGTGCTTACAGTAACGTGGTCTTCCCCTCGCCTGCATGTCTCCTGCTGAGGGGAGTGCTTGGCCTCCAGCTTGTGAAATCTGAGCAGTGCTCTTTGCCGGACCGCTGAGCTGCCCGGAACCTCCCTGAGGCTCCGCGGAAAGACGGGCAGGTTTTATTCTGGAGGAAATGAATAGCACCTTCGTCACGGAGAACGTCACAATCTCAGGTGGCTCATTGGAATTGAAAGCTAAGTCTCTTCATGGCCACGGTCATATTCTGGGAGATGTAGTGGCGTCACAGAGACCAGCCCTGGGTGACAGCATGCTGGGCTGTGCTCATGTAACAGACGGCTGACGGGCAGGGTTAGAGAGCCCGGCGCCTCCTCAATGGCAGACGTCTCTCTGCGCTGTCGGTGTGGGAGCCACGAGGCACCGACGTGGTTAGGGTGCACAGGCCTTGGGTTTGTTACCGTGTTTAGTTTTAATTAATTTAGTCTACGTGCACATGTGGCGAGGGTCCCTGCTGCTGGCACAGGTGGAGCAGCGGCTCTCCAGCTGTAGGCTCATTGGAATCGCTCCTGCAAGGCTGGGGGGCCTGGGATGGCACCGCCAGCAGGCTGCCCGGGAGGCCGGCGTCGCTGGTGGGAGCACCGAGGACCGCCGGGAGGTTAGCGCACGCCCACGGTGCTGTCAGGCCCAGGCTGGTGTGCGCCTTGTCCGGCTCTCCCGGAGACGGAGCCAGGGAAGCTGGAGCGCATTCCGTCAGTGCTCAGGGCCACCTTTACTCTCCTTAGGGCAGGGCCAGGCTCCAGAGTTCTGCCCTCCTGGCTCTGACCAGGCCCTCTCTGGCGAGGGCTGTTCAACCAGATGTTCCTTACTGTCCCAGCTCCCTGCAGAGCTGCAGAGCTCTCTGTTCTCTCCCCCCTTCCTCCCTCCCTCTGTCTCTATCTCTGTCTCTGTCTCTGTCTCTGTCTCTCTCTCTCTATGTGTGTGTGTATATATGTATACGTATGTATTTTTTTCTCTCTGCTTTTTGTAACCCTCACCCCAGGATATTTTCCCTTTGGTTTTTGGAGAGTGTGGAAGGGAGGTAGGTAGGAGAAAAAGAGAGACATTCATGTGAGAGACACACATCAGTCAGTTGCCTCCTGCACATGCCCAGGCCAGGACTGGGTCTGCATCCCAGGTACATGCCTTTGACCAGGAATCGAACCCATTGGTCCTTGGGTGGACGCTCTAACCACTAAGCCAACCCGGCCAGGGCTGCCAAGCGACTTTGCGTGACAGTCTCCGGCCGGACCCCCTGATGCGCCTCTGCCCTCCGGCGCCCTGGCTTCTTGCAGACCCAGGTGGGACGCTTCGCCCCGCAGTTCTCCGGCTACCAGCAGCAGGACTCCCAGGAGCTGCTCGCCTTCCTGCTGGACGGGCTGCACGAAGACCTGAACCGCGTGAAGAAGAAGCCCTACCTGGAGCTGCAGGACGCCAACGGGCGGCCAGACGCGGTGCGTCGTGAGACTGAGCAGTCCTCCGGAACGCTCCTGCTGTGCGAGCTGCGGAACGCCCTGTCCTTTGCGGCTGGTGCCAGGGCCTGGCGGTCTGTTGTCGTTGGTGATGAGGCTGTGTGCTGGTAGAGTGCATTCCAGGGCAGGGAGAGGGTGAACGCAGCCGCTCCTGCTGCTCCCTGGTGGCGCCGGCAGCTCGAGGCCCGTGTGCTGGCATTTCACCGGTGACCAGAGACGGGCTCGCTGACTGCACAGTGCCTGTGGTGTGGGCTCCTGAGACTGACTGCTCTCGTTAGGGTCCGTCGGAGATCATCAGAATATTGTTATGGTATCGCTGGGGCACTCACACCTTCCCGTGCTTTCTGGCCCGTGCGAAGGGACTCGGTGTGTGCTGTAAGCCTCCTGCCGCGGTGGAGGGCCAGTGTGACTGCTTGGACGTACATTCACCTCTTAGAGGAAAAGCGCTGGACGCTCATCCCTCACTGACGGACTCGGAGCGGGAAACCCCGTGCGCAGGCGGTGCCCCCAGTCAGGCCTGTGCGCCCCCAGTGCTCAGTGCACGTGGCTCCCCTCAGGACCAGCAGAGGCCGGCTTCCTGAGTGGCTCCATCAGCACTAAGCATGTGGCGGCGTTTAGCTGGCGTCTGTGTGTGCGTGTGCGTGTGCGTGCGTGTGCGTGCGTGTGTGTGTGTGTGTGTGTGTGTGTGTGTGAGCTCTGGCTGGCCGGCCCAGTTCTTGGCTGCACAGCCTGCCTCATGTTCAGTCTTCACCGAGGACACGGTTTTCATAGGTTCTAGAAAGGAGGGGGGACATTGATGTGAGGGACCACACCTGCACCCTGCTATGCCCGGGAGGCAAACCTCAGCCGCTCGGGGCCTGGGACGACACGCCAGCCGGGCCCCGCCTCGGTTTCTCTTGATCCTGCGGGACGCGGGGCCCGGGACGGGCTGTCGGCGGCCGCTCATCCTCCTCTCGTCCTCAGGTGGTCGCGAAGGAGGCCTGGGAGAACCACCGGCTGCGGAACGACTCTGTGATCGTGGACACCTTCCACGGCCTCTTCAAGTCCACGTTGGTGTGCCCAGAGTGTGCCAAGGTCTCTGTGACCTTTGACCCATTCTGCTACCTAACTCTCCCGCTGCCCTTGAAGAAAGATCGCGTCATGGAGGTCTTCCTGGTTCCCGCCGACCCTCGCTGCAGGCCTGCGCAGGTGAGAGCCGTGGCACCTCCGTGGTGAGTGGTGTCCAGACCCACAGGGGCCCCTTCCCTCTCCCTCAGCAGGCGCTCACCGACTGGCGGAAAGTCCGTGGCCTCCAGCAGGCTCCGTGTCTCCCTGTCACTCGGCTTCTCGGCCCCTTTCCTGTGGCGCTCCCCAGCGGCGGGAGTGGGCTCCGCTGCCAGGTGCTCCTGGAATCGGAATGTTGGGACCGGAAGCAGGGCCCTTTCTCAGTCCGGTCCCCCTCAGGCAGCCAGGAGGGCTCCCTGCGTCCGCACTGCGGCCTCTGGGTGTTTGCATGAGGGCTGGCTGGCAGCTGTATAATTCTAATAGTTCTCCCAAGAACGTAGTTAAGAATAAAATGAAACCGTACTACCCTGGCTGGTGTGGCTCAGCGAATAGAGCATTGGCCTGCAGACTGAAGGGTTCTTCTGAGTTGGATTCTGGTCAAGAGCATGTGCCCAGGTTGCAGGTTCGATCCCCAGTGTGGGGCATGCAGGAGGCAGCCAGTCAGTGATTCTCATCATTGATGTTTCTGTCTCTTCCCTCGCCCCCTGAAATCAGTAAGAGATATATTAACAATAAATAAATACAGCCGTGCTCTGTCTAGACAGAAGCCCTTCCTCTTGGCTCTGCTGCCACCTGTCTGGCCCTGAGCTCACTGTAGACTTCCTGGAAGGACGCTCCTGCCTCCCAAACACATGCTCTTCCCGCTCACCTCCCCCCTTTGGGACACGCCCATGCCTCTCCCTCGCCAGCCCCGGCTCCCTCGCCCCGGCTCCCTCACCCCGGCTCCCTCGCCTTCTCGCTCTGCAGTACCGTGTGACCGTGCCGCTGATGGGCGCTGTGTCGGACCTGTGCGAGGCGCTGTCCAGGCTGTCGGGCGTGGCTGCGGAAAACGTAAGGCGGGGCGTGCCCTCGGCGGGGGCCTGAACATCCCGTGGGGTTGGTTTTCACCTGGTGGCCCTTCTGGGGGTTCTCACTGGCCGGATGTGACCGCATCCGGTGCTCAGGACCAGCGTGCTGCCTGCGCACCGCCGCTGAGCCCTCCTCCTGGACCCCCGGGCACAGCTTCCTCATGGGTCGCACTCCCACGGCCAAGGACGGAGGGCTCTGCTCTCCGCTGCCTCCCCTCCCTGCCCCTCCCTCACGATAAGAGGAGGCCAAGTCCTTTCCTGCCCAAGCGCCTATGTCTGTGTGACGTGTGATGTTCTGGATGGAAATCTGTGTTTAAACCGCTGCCCCAGCTGGGCTTCTGCTGAGCCTGACCTGGCCTGGCGGTGGGCAGAGGGAAGGCCCCCTGGCATGAGGCCCGGGTCCCGGATGCTGGTCCCAGGCGGTTGTGCTTGGGGATCGGTCCGTTTTCCCTGTGCTGAGAGGGAGACTCCAGGTGCCTTGCAGTCTCTGATGGCACCCACCTCCCGCCCCTGCCTCTGGCTGAGCCCAGGGCGGCCGGCGAGCAGACGTGGCCCCGTGCCTTCCGCTGTGCAGCCATGCCGCTCCCCGCAGGCCAGCCCCCAAGCTCAGGTCGCCCACAGGGTGCGCTCTCTGGACGCCCATCTCCTCCCTCTGTCCCTCAGTGGAAGCTGGTGTGCTCTTAACCCTCCCGTAACCTTCCTGCTCCTGTCATCCTCAGATGGTGGTCACAGACGTGTACAATCACCGGTTCCACAAGATCTTCCAGATGGACGAAGGGCTGAACCACATCATGCCCCGGGACGACATCTTTGTGTGAGTGCGGGCGGGGCTGCCGCGGTCCGCACAGGCTAGAGGCTCCCTTCTCGGTCCCGGCGCGCGTCCTGGCCGTTGGCCGTGGACCTGCCCTCCCCCCGGGGCCAGAGGTGGTTGAGGGACTGCAGGCAGCTGTCCGTGCTGAGCGCCTCCGGCTTCAGAGCCAGACGCTCCAGACGGCGCAGCGTGACACCGCCGTCAGTGCTTCCTGACGAGGTCCCGCCGGCGGCGCTGCCGTCAGTGCCTTTCTCAGGAGCAGCGCGGCGTGGGCGAGCCTGGCAGGCACAGGGCGGCCAGGCCAGGGAGAGCCTCCCTCCGGGCATGGCTGGCGCCAGGGCCGGGGCCGGGGCCAGGGCCAGGTTGATGCTGTGAGCTCGGAGGCCGAGTTTCCACGTTCCTGGGGACAGCACGCCCCGACCCCAGCTGGTCCCCGGCATCCCCACTCCTGCCTCAGGGTCGCCCTCGTAGCAGGTCTGCCGTCCTCGCCCGGGGGCGGCTACAGTGTAAGCTGGCCTGCGCCCAGTCCTGTCTGCTGGCTCCTTTTTCCTCTCGCCGCCAGCTTGCCTTTGGTGGTGAGAGCTTTTAGGGTTTTGTTGGTTTTGTTTTTGAGTGAGGAAGGCACTACACTAAGAGGTCATTCCTTCCCTTAAGTTTGCCCTCGGACTCCTGGGTCACTCTAAAACGAATAGTTCTTGGCCACGCCCCGGCCCCAGCTCTGACCCGCTGGTCAGGCAGCTCCCTCCTCAGCGCCGTCTTCCCTCACCCACAAGCGGAGGCCCGAGCTCGTCCTGGGCCGCAGCCTGCGGCATGTCCACTCAGACCCCGGCTCCTTCCTGGAAACCAGGGCCTGTACGTAGCTGAGCCAAGAGCCGGTGCTGCCGGGCGGAGGCTGGCAGACCACCCTCACGAAGGGATTCAGGCCTGAGGGCCGGCCTCCAGGAAAGCCATTGTTCTCTCCTGGCACTCGGCGTGTGGTGGGTGCTGCTGAGCGCTGCCTGCTCGGCTGGCACTGAGGTGGGTGGTGTGTGGCCCCTGAGCAAACAGACGTGGACGCTAGGGGCGTGGCCTGGGCACAGCACCGGAAACTGGCAGGAGGGGTGCGGAGTCGGGCCAGCCTCCCTCCGAGGCCTGGTTCGTGACCTTATGTTAGACCACCAGGGCCTCACCCGAGCGAGAACAGCCGTCTAGCGGTCGCCAACCCGGGGTCCGCGCACCACTGGGGGCCCGTGAGGTCCGAAAGGCCGGCCACCGCTGCCCTAGTGCGCAGCTCGGACATTTTTGTGAGATTAAAAACAAGCTCCTGCATTTACTAGTCAGAACTGCTGGCCAGGCACCTGGGGAGGGGTGTGTGTGTGTGATTTTGTGTTTATAGTTTTCAAAAATTGAATCAGTAAGCTTGTGTCTCCCCCTATAGGAAGAGGGAAAGACCACAGTCGGTTGCCAGCATTTTGGTAACATCTGTTCCAGGATAAAACATCTAACTCTCCTCAGTCCCATGTATTCACTAAGTAAGACACATTTTTCAAAATCATTGATTTGTGTTTACCAGTTTCTTTGGTTATCACTGATTTTTTAAAAAATTTAGATAATGATTCTTTTACTTCAGTGTTTTTGAACAAAGATGACAAGCGATTTGTTTTATAAGTTTGCTTCTTCATTTGAAATAAAGGGTCTTTGGCTAATGTTCCAGGTGTACGTCTGTATAATGTCTTGTTCTATTAAAGGACAGGGCACTGAGAGTGCTTTTTTAGAAGGCGAATTCCTGGTGACAAACGCTGAGTCTGTGGCCGGGCCCGTGTGTCTGTGTGGAGTGATGGGCGGTGACAGCGGCGCTGCAGATCCGCTGAAGGACCGCGGGCTGCGGTGGGGCAGGGGGGCCCGTGAGCCCGAGCCCGGGCTGCGTGGTGACCTCGGGACCAGCCCTGGAATGGTCTGGAGTGTGGGGTCTCTGCCTCCGTGCCAAAGTGTGCTGTCCAGTCACCGTAGTCGTGGCCACGTGTAGCTGCAGGCAGGTCTCTGTCCTGACCGTTCCTGTGTGACCGACAGGTACGAAGTCTGCAGCACCTGCGCGGATGGCTCCGAGTGCGTCACGCTCCCCGTCTACTTCCGGGAGAGGAAGTCCCGGCCGTCGAGCCCGTCCTCCGGGGCAGTGCTGTATGGGCAGCCGCTGCTGGTGTCCGTCCCCAAGCACACGCTGACCCTCGAGTCTCTGTACCAGGCTGTGTGCGAGCGGATCAGGTTGGTTTGTTCCCTGAGGTCAGTGCCGACACGGCCGTAGCACTGACCCTCCCTGCAGGGCCCCTGGTGCCCCCGTGCCTGCTCCCATTAGAAGCGGAGGCCGGCAGGGGCGGGGGGCGGGGCTCCTCTTAAGCTCCGTGCCTCGGGGCACCTACGCCGCCTCCTGTCCCGAGGCGTCTCACAGCTGTCAGTCACCTGCGGTAGGGAGTCAGTGCTTTGGCTGCGTTACTTATTTGAACCACGTTTTTGAAGAATCCCACTGCCGGGCTGAAGCGGTAGTTAAAGCCCCGGAGAGGCTTTGGACGGTGATGCTGGAAACACCGTCCTGAGTCTCAGGGACGTGGCAGCTGACACCCCGTCTCTGGGTTCCTCTCAGTTTCTTCGGGTGCTGAGCCATCACGTGATGTCAGAGCCTTTTATTAAACTGCCGTCGGGTCACTGTATACATTGTGAGCTACCTGTAGGTGAGGAGTGGGGCAGCACGTAAACGGTACCGCTGACAGTCTTTCTTCTCTCTTTCAAGCCGCTACATAAAACAGCCGCTGCCCCAGGAGGCGGGTGGCCCGCCCCCCGAGCCCGGGGCCTGCAACGGCTCCCGAGGCCGCTGTGAAGGTGAGCGCTGCCCCGCTGCTCAGAGGTCACACCGGGAGCGGGGCGCTGGGAGGGAGGGGCTCTGCCTGGCCCCGGGGGAGCCTCCCAGGCAGGTGGCTGCTGCCGCTCGGACAGGCCAAGCCGAGCGGGGCTGGGCTGAGTTGGGGTTCAATTTGGAGCGCGGGGATTAGAGGGGTGCTTCTTGCCCGGCTGGTGGGGCTCAGTTGGTCGAGAGTCACCTTCTGTACCAAGAAGTTGCCGATTGGGTTCCGGGTCGGGGCACGTGCCCGGGATGTGGGTGGATGCCCAGTAGGGGGCGTGCGGGAGGCAGCTGGTTGCTGCTTCTCAGTAAAAAGGTTTTTAGAAAACCTGAAGGAACAGGGCGGTGGATGTGGTACAGGAGCTTCCTTTGTGCAGGAGAGGACGAGGAGGAGATGGAGCAGGAGATGGAGCACCTGGAGGAGGGCAGAGAGCAGCTCTCGGAGCCCGAGGGCGGCTGGGAGGACGAGCCGGGAGGCGACCAGGGGGAGATGGCCCAGAGGAAGAGCGCGGGCCGGCCCCGCCCCAAAAGGCTCTTCACCTTCAGCCTCGTGAACTCCTACGGGACGGCCGACATCAACGCACTTGCGACCGACGGGAAGCTGCTGAAACTCAGCTGTAAGCGTGTCTGCCTCCGGCGGGCTCCGGGACCGTCCGGGGAAGGGCTTGCTCTCGGTGCTTCCTGCTTTGGGCCCATGGCCTCCGTGTGTCTCCGGGACACACATTTGTGCCCTCTTCTCTTGACGCTCCCCAAGGGGCTGTCTAAGAGACATGGGGGCCTGGTAGGGAGGTCAGTGGGTCCCACTGTGCCAGGGTTGTGAGTTCGATCCTCAGTCAGGGCTCATACGAATAATCAACCAGTGAAGGCATAAGTAAGAACAACAAATCAGTGTTTCTCTCTCCCTCCCTCTTTGCTTCCGTCTCTAAATCAATCAATGGATAGTGAACCGAGAGACCGTGCACAGCGGCGCACACGTCCACACCCCGCCTGCCAGCCTCTTCCCTCCGTCCTCGATGGTTCAGGAGCTCCCTCCCTCCCCGCTCTCGCCTGGCTCCCCGTCTCCCCGGGGGGCAGTCTTCTCCAGACTCGGGCCTGGTTCCGTAAGGGGCTCCTGAACGGGCCCCGCGGGGGGGCATGGGCTTGCAGGCGGGGCCTGCCCGCCGGACGGAGCGAGGCGCCCTCCGGATGTGCGTCGTGTGCGCCAGGCACGGGGCCAGCGGGGACGCCGCACGGGCAGGACACTGTCCTCAGTCGCCTTCCCTGGAGCAGAGAGGAACTGACGTCCTCAGCTCGCTGGCTTTTTTTTTGCTATTCTTCTTTAAAAGTTCTAAATAACAGACTTATTGAGATCTTCCTGAGCTCGCTCTCTCTGCAGCTCCCTCTTCCCCGGGCAGCTTTCTCCTTTTAGACGCCATCTTGTAATTTTTAGCAATTTTTCTGGAGCTCCAGTCTGACTCCTCAGCGTAGTCCCCCCCCCCCTCCCCCGGGGTCTGGAGACGCCTCCGCAGGAGGGCCCTGCAGCTCCTGTGCGCCCCTCAGGAGGGCGTCGCAGGCGGCAGCGGGCTCTGACTTGGTCAGCGTTTCTGCGGGTTAAGGTGGAGGGCATTTCCAGCCCATGTCTCCGTCCTTCCACATTCTTGGTGGCAGCTGGAGCCTGTCTGCGAGAGCAGACCTGGGCGAAGGGCGGGCCCGGCGTGCAGCGCAGGAGCGGAGCGTCGCTCGGGCCGGCGACGGGCGGCCGTCCGGGGTGCAGCCTCAGTGGGACCTGAAGAGCCGCCCCCGGGCCGCCCCCCTAACGGTGACCTTGGGCCCTCACAGCTCGGTCCACCCTGGCCATCGACTGGGAACCCGAGACGCGGAGCCTGTATTACGATGAGCAGGAGTCCGAGGTAGGTGGCCAGGGCCGGGCATCGGGGGGCGGTCACTCGCGGCAGCTTCGGTTTGGGCTGAGTGACGGCACCAGCGAGGCTCGTGAGAGCCGCTGCCCGTGGCTGCCGGAGCCTCGTCTCCCCGCGGCCCTCGCTCTGCTCCCGCAGGCCTTCGAGAAGCACGTGAGCATGCTGCAGCCGCAGAAGAAGAAGAAGACGGCCATGGCCCTGCGGGACTGCATCGAGCTCTTCACCACCATGGAGACGCTCGGGGAGCACGACCCCTGGTAGGCCCCCCCCCCGCCCCCCCCTGACCTCTGACGCCGCCCGGCCAGCGGTGCACGCACCCCCTCGTGTTCGCACGTCACTCTTGGCTGCCGGCCCCCGACACAGACCTCTCCCCGTGCGTCTGCTTTGCAGGCTGAGCGCCGTCCCCGCTGGGAGGGTGACTGAGCCGCTGCCGCGGCTGGCAGGGACGGGCTGCGGGCTGCGCGGTGCCTCCCGGCGGCCTGCCCGGTGGCGCTCGCTCCCTGCCCCCTTATGGCCGTTCTCCTTTCCCTCAGGTACTGTCCCAACTGCAAGAGGCATCAGCAGGCCACCAAGAAGTTTGACCTGTGGTCCTTGCCCAAGATCCTGGTGGTGCACCTCAAGCGTTTCTCCTACAGCCGGTACTGGAGGGACAAGCTGGACACGGTCGTGGAGTTCCCGGTCAGGTGGGTCCTGGCTGCTGGTCCCGGGCGTTCGCGGGAGGAAGCTGGCACCGATGGCAGAGGGTTCGCCGCCACGGATGTGGCTGCAGGGGTGCGTTGTGGGCTCTGGGAGGGAGGCTTTGGCTGGAGGGAGTCTGCGGGCGGAGGGGGTTGTTCAGGGGCTCCTGTCCCTGGCGAGGGGGGCTGGCTGGCTCCTCCGGCCTCCGGCCCAGACCCAGAGTGGGTGGCAGGCACGCAGGCAGCAGGATGGTCTCCGCCACCAAGGGCAGAGTTAACCTGCCGGGGGGGGAGACACAGGCGTGTCAGTGGAGGACCGAGGTGATGGCTGTTAGATATTTGTTGGGAAATTCTTCACTTTTCTGTACGCTTGGAGTTTTCACAATGAAACATGGGGATGAGAGCTTGATGGGGCCTGTTCTGGTGCAGCGTGAACGTGGAGGCACCACGCGTGGCTGTGAGAGAGGCTGTGAGAGGTGTCCCGGCAGCCTGGGCGGTGGAGAGCCGTCCTCCCGCTGGTCTGGCCTTCCCAGCCGGAGTGGTCAGCGGTCAGCCGGGACCAGGCCTGGCCTGTGCGTGTTCTGCCTCTGCAGTGCCTCCCTCTGACCTGTCTGCTGCATAAAGGGGTTTCTCTAAATTAACGTAGTGACGGCTGTTCTTATGTTTTGTGCTTAGAGGTCTGAACATGTCCGAGTTTGTCTGTGACCCGTCAGCAAGGCCTTATGTGTACGACCTCATTGCCGTGTCCAATCATTACGGAGCCATGGGGGTTGGCCACTGTGAGTACCCACATCGTTCCCTCTGCCACTGCCCATGCCCTCTGCTCAGCTCTGCCCCTCGCCCTGCCAGCGCCATGGGCCTCAGGCCTTTTCCGTTCAGTAGCCCCTTCACTTGTAACATTTCTTTTTGGTTTTCATATTCTTTTAAAAAATATTTTTATTAATTTTAGAGAGGAAGGGAGAGGGGGAGAGAGAGAAACATCAGTGATAAGATAGAATTGTTGATTGGCTGCCTCCTGCACGCCTCACACTGGGGATGGAGCTCGCATCCTGAGCTTGTGCCCTGACCTGGTTTATAGGTCGGTGCTCAGCTGCTGAGCCACGTGGCTGGGCGAGTTTTCCTCTTCTTTAACCCAGTAATCCCATCTCTGGGAATTTGTCCTAAGGAAATGGTATTAGGGAAGCTTTATGCACAAAGATATTCATCCATAAAAAACAACAACATAATATGCTCATTAGACCAGCCGTCCTTCCGGACAAAGCCGGGGCTGCGAGGGGAGCGGTGCTGGCCCAGAGGAGTCTCTAGGGCATTATAACCACAAACAGTCAGTGACGGCGTGGTGGTCAGGAGCTGGGACTGCTGTCCATCTGCCTGATGGCAGAGCTCTTGGCCATTGCACATGCAGCTGAGGGGGATGCAGTGAAAGCGAAAGCACAGAGCGGCGCCATCACAGGAGCAGGGTCACAGCTACTGAAACCAAAAGCAGGGAAACGGCTGGGGCTGGGAGGCCTCGGAGGACACACCAAAACGTGAATTTCTGTTCCTCCTCACTCTGCTGTTTTCCAAAATGTCTGTCGTGCATGGGTTTGCCTTTTAGCGAAGAGAGCTCACTCATCTTACCTGTTTCTGGAAAGTGGGCAACGGGGAGGGAGGGGCTGTGCTCCCTCTCCCTTTTACCGCCACCACAGCCAGTGCGAGGACCCCGAGAGGGCGCCGGGAGGTCAGATGGCGTCAGTCCGTCCCAGCTCTGGCTCCTGGGAGCGGGTGGAGCAGGAATTGGCATTGCTGCTGTAAACACATCCTGCTTAGAAACAGTACCAAATCAGGACAGGAAGTACCGGCTGTGGGCTGCTGCTCACTGAGGAGCTGTTACAGCTGTCCAGAAAGATTAAGTCCGTCCACAGCCGAGCTCTGCCAACAGCCCAGGTGCCCAGTGCCCCTCCCGGGTCTGCCCACGGGCTCCAGAGGCAGGGGGCAGTAGACACCCTGAACATGGACGGGGCTCGCCATTTTTTAAAATTGTTTCCCCAAATCAGTGTGAAGTGCTGGTTCCTGACAGCTCCACTTCCTCCTCTTCAAGCCCTTGGGAGGTCAGATATGGGAGGAGATACTTTTGTTAAGACACATTTGTAGATTAGTTCTGCTGTCAGGGCCTGTGTGTTTCATTTTGGAGTCTGCTTTGGTGCGCCCGGTCCCGGCCAGGCCGCTGTGCGGCGGCGCTAGCGGGTTTCCCTTGGCTCGGCAGACACCGCGTACGCGAAGAACAAGCTCAACGGGAAGTGGTACTACTTCGACGACAGTAACGTGTCGCTGGCCTCCGAGGACCAGATCGTGGTGAGTCAGCCGGCAGCCGCCCCGGCCGCCAGGCTTTTCCTGTTCTTAATGACAGTCCCTCTGGGATCCGTCCCGAGGAGCTGGCATTGGGGAAGCTTTGTGCATTTGTAACAACGGAAAACCCGTGACAGTGTGATGGGAACAGCGAGACAGCTGGGCAGAACGGGTGGCTTTCCAGCCAGTGAGGACCTCTCCCCTCGTGTTTTAGACAAAAGCGGCTTATGTGCTGTTCTACCAACGCCGAGACGGCGAGTGCCACACGACGCCCCCCCTCGCCGGCCTTCCCGGCTCCTCGGACGGTGGGGTGCCCCCCAGCGGCTCCCAGCAGGGCCTGCGGGAGGAGGCGGCCTGCAGCATGGACACCAACTGACGCCCACCGTGTGACCCCTGAAGACTACTAGTGTTTGGACTAAAAACCAGATGAGGAAATTCCCTTCTTTTATGAGCAGAAGAAAAAAAAAAAAAGCCCCTTTGTTGAGAAGGGTTATGTCAAGAGGCTGAATTATTTTCCTTTTAAGTGGGCGGAGCGATTCCTATAGAACCGCGGCGGGGGCGGGGCTCAGTGCCTGTGGATGGAACCCAGGCAGGAGGGCACAGCCTCCTGGGGTGGGCGGAGGCTGCGGCGGCCATCCCTGCTCCCCCCAGTCGTGTGCCCAGCAAACAACCCCCTCTTGGCGTGTCCCCGCCCAAGCGAAGGTCTCCTGCCCTCAGTCTGCAGGGGCGCCTAGCAGTGCTGTCCGGTGGCCCACACCCCTCCTCCCTGCACCCCCCACCCTCTGCCACTCGGGTCAGCACAGATGCGGGGCCTGCCCCTCCACGGCCTCTGCTGGGGTCAGAGCGGAAGCCGACCTCCTGGGCATGTGGGGGTTGGAGAGCCCCCAGTCTTAGCGAGAAGCGAGACCCCTGCCCCGCGGCCTGGGCTCTCCGTGGGGCCCCTGCCCCCGCCCCCGCTGAGGCCCCTGCACAGCCCGCCCCCCAATGCAGCCTCGAGGCCCCGGCGGGCGGCTGCGCCCTCGTTTCCCTCCGGGTGGGACGGGACACGTGACCTTTAACCCGCGCCGCCGCGGCAGGGGCCACCGTGACCTTTAACCCGCGCCGGCGGTTGGGCACGTGCCCTCCGCGCTGACCCTCCGCACTGACCGCCCTCGGCGCTGACGGTTGGGGCGGCGGCTGCACTGGGTGAGGCTCTCCCTCCCCCGGGCGCGGGGGGGCGGGGGGCGGGGTGCGAGGGGTTTGGGGTGCGGTGGGCGGGGTTTGGGGTGCGGTGGGCCGGGTTTGGGTCGGGATGTGGGGCAGGGGGCGGGGTTGGGGGCGGCGGGCGGGGTTGGGGGTGGAATTTGGGGGCGGGGCCGGGGTGGGTGGGGTTTGGGGTGCGATGGGCCGGGTTTGGGGCGGGATGGGGGGCGGGGGGGCGGGATGTGGGGCGGGGGGCGGGTTTTGGGGTGGGATTTGGGGGCGGCGGGCGGGGTTTGGGTGGGATTTGGGGGCGGCGGGCGGGGTTGGGGCCGGGGGCGGGGTTGGGGTGGGCCGGGGCGGGTCCCCGTGGGGACTGGTCCCCGGCCGCGGGCGGACCGCGATGGCCCTGGGTGCCCCCCATTGACGGGCGCCCCCAGCACGCGGCCCGGACGATGTCGGAGAAGCTGCGCCGCTGCCGCAAGGAGCTGGCGGCCGCCATCGACCGCGCCTTCGAGGGCGTCCGGCTGTCCCAGCAGCGCGCCCGCCGCCCGCCGCCCGGCGCCGCCAGGGAGGCCCCGGGCCCGGCCGCCAGGCCCGCGCCGGCCGCCCGCAGGCCGCTGGCCGCCAGGGAGAACCTGCCCGGCCCGCCCTGGGGCCCCGAGCCCGGCCGCAGCGACGGCCTCAGGTGACCGCCCCGACCTGACCCCTGACCCCGACCCCCTGTCCCCGACGGGGCCTGGTCCCTCCCGGTCCCCCGCCCCGGGCGCCCCGGGAAGGGTGTGAGTGTGTGTTTGGGGTCAGGGGTCAGGGGAGACAACACAAACCAGAGGAGTGAACGTTAAAGATCTAGTTTTCCAAGTCACATTGTTTCTTTTTCCTCTTTAAAAAGCTTTATTGTTAAAAATATCACAGTTACCTCCCCCCCAGCCCCACCCACCCCGCAGGGTTTATGCCACAGAAAGAGCATCTGATCCGCTCCTTGGCCACCGTGGGAACCGGCCGCTGGCCTCGCCCTCGCCCTCACCCTCACCCTGACCCTGCTCCCTGCCCGCCCCCCAAGCTTCCTGACTCCCGGTGCCTCCCCGGACCTTCTCTCCCCCGGGCCCCCACTGCCTGGCCCGGCACCGAGCTGGGCGCTGCCGTCCTGGCGGCCACGGGGCGGGGAGTGGCGGAGCCATGGAGCCGCCGCCCTGCAAGCGTCATCCTGGGCTCAGACACGTTGCGTCGTCGGTGATGTGTAGTCGGCCTCACTGACAGTCATTTCCATTGTCCTCTAATCACAGCCTGAAATGGCAATCAACATTACCTAACACCCGTCAATATTTTATTGAAAGAAGGCCCAGCCAGCGTGGCTCAGTGGTTAGCGTCAACCTATGAACCAGGAGGTCGTGATTTGATTCCCAGTCAGGGCACAGGCCCGGTTGTGGGTTTGATCCCCAGGTGGGGGCGTGTAGGAGGCAGCCGATCAATGATTCTCATAACTGATGTTTCTCTCCCCGGCCCCCCCTGAAATCAATAAAAATACTTTAAAAAAAAAGTATGTTTCTTGAAAGAGGCTCTAATTCCCCACCTTTTCCTTTCCCCCGGGGCTGCAGGAAAGACATGGAGAAGGAGCTGAAGGCTGACTCAAGTCTGCCCCTTGGCAGTTCTAGCCAAGAGGTCACCAAGGACCTGCTGGACATCATCGGTGAGTATCGCACGCCGCCTCCAGGAGGCGATGGCGGGTCAGGAAAGACCATCTCTCATCCATTGGCCGTGCTCATGGCAGGCTCTGGGTGGAGACCTGGTGGCCTGGCAGCCATCTCAGAAGCCACGGCGCAGCCTTGGGGCGGCGGCCCCAGAACTTGTGGTCAAGCTGAGATCTGCAGGAACCGGAGTGGACACGGGGGGGGGGGTGTCCAGCTGTGGTGGGAGCACGGTGAACGGAATCAGCCCGGCTGGTGTGGCTCAGTGGGTTGAGGGTTGGCCCATGAACCAGAAGGTCAGTGGTTCCATTCCCACGGAGGGCTCAGGCCTGGGTTGCGGGATTGGTCCCCATTCGGGGGCGTGCAGGAGGCAGCCCGATCAGTGATGTTTCTCTCATCATTGATGTTTCTATCTCTCTCCCTCTCACTTCCTCTCCCTCTCAAAAATCAATGAAAACATTAACTTAAAGTAAATCCCATCAGAACCAGTTTGGCTCAGTGGATAGAGCGTCGGCCTGCGGGCTGAAAAGTTCCAGGTTCGATTTTTGTCAAGGGCATGTGCCTTAGTTGCAGGCACATCCCCAGTGGGGGGTGTGCAGGAGGCAGCTGATGGATGTTTCTCTCCCATGGATGTTTCTATCTCTCTATCCCTTTCTCCTCTTCTCTGTAAAAACTCAAAAAACAAACCAAACCCAACAACAAAAAGTAAATCCCAACGCCCCGCTCTGATTCCACCACCAGGAGGCATTGCAGCTGCTGTGTGTCTGGCAGACACGTGTCTGCACATCGACATTCTGGGGAGCCTGTGAGCCCGTCTCAGTGACTCCCACGCACAGTAGGACCACGGCTCCTCCTCCAGGGGTGCAGCCCTGGGCTGTTGGCGCTTCAGGGAGGGAGGGCGACCTCAGGGCACTGGTCCCCTGGTGCCTCACAGCGCCATCTCCCCCTCTCCTCACCTGGAGGCTGTCAGCCTGGGAGGCGCACACACGTGCACCCTCCCGGGGGCTCGGACAGTTGGGGACAATAAGAGCCGGAAAGGGGGTGCTGAGCCGCCCGTAGGATTGGCCGGGGTTCGGGAAGCGGCCTGTCCCTTTGCAAACCCCTCCGGCCGCCCTTGGAGCCCGCGGCCCGCCTGATGCCCCCCCCCCCCCCCCCCCCCCCAGACAACACGAGCATCCGCACCATCGAGGAGCTGGCGGGGAGGCTGGAGTTTGAGAACGAGCTGAACCGCGTGTGCGACCCCTGCGGGGACTCGCCCTTCCCGGAGGAGGCCTGGGCGCTGCTCCTGGACGAGAGCCCGCGGGAGGCGGCCGAGGCCGACCCCGGCAGCCTGCCGCGCGCCTTCGACGACCACAGCGTGGTCCAGACGGTGCTGGACCTGGAGGACGACTACAGCCTGATGAGCCCGTTCAAATACCACCTGGAGTGAGGCCGCCCCTCGCCCCCCCACCTCCCACCGCCTGCGGCTCCCGGAGCGGAGCCCGCTGTTTGGTTGGCGTGTTTGTTGTTTCCCTGTGGCTTTGACGTGTTTCTGACTGTTCCTGACTCTGGCTGATGCCAATACACGGTGCTCAGGCCGTGCTGTGCCTCTGCCGTGTCTCCTGGTGTTCTTTCCCAGAAACCCCTGCGGCCACAGCCAGGGGCTCGGCGGACCCTGGCCCAGGCCCTCCACTCCCCACTTCCTCTCCCTGCCCCTGCACCCAGGCGCCTGCTCCCTGCCCGCAGGCCCTCCCTCCAGAGCAGCCTTCCTGCGCCGCGCTCAGCCCCGGCCGCTCAGGCCCGGCCGCTCAGCCCCGGCCGCTCAGACCCGGCCGCTCAGACCCGGCCGCTCAGGCCCCGGCCGCTCAGGCCCCGGCCGCTCAGACCCGGCCGCTCAGGCCCCGGCCGCTCAGCCCCGGCCGCTCAGCCCCGGCCGCTCAGCCCCGTCCGCTCAGCCCCGGCCGCTCAGCCCCGGCCGCTCAGACCCGGCCGCTCAGACCCGGCCGCTCAGCCCCGGCCGCTCAGGCCCCGGCCGCTCAGACCCGGCCGCTCAGCCCCGGCCGCTCAGCCCCGGCCGCTCAGGCCCCGGCCGCTCAGGCCCCGGCCGCTCAGACCCGGCCGCTCAGCCCCGGCCGCTCAGGCCCCGGCCGCTCAGGCCCCGGCCGCTCAGACCCGGCCGCTCAGAGGTGTTCAAAGGGGCTGGGAGCACCCTGTCCCTCCTGGCAGGGCTTTCTCACGAGTCCCCGTGGGAGGGAGGGGGATGGGGGTGCAAACAGGTACCTCCCACCCACCTTCATGCCTGACCTCGTTTAGGCCCCTCCAGGCCTGGGACCCGGAGGCCACGGTGGGCAGGGAGGGAGGGAGGCCAGGACGCTGCCCGAGGGCAGCGCAGCCCAGAGCTTAGCGGGCCGCTTCAGCCATGACAGGAGCTCTCAGGGGCAGGCACTGAGCCCCAGCAGCTGGCAGCAAGTGCCTCCTGGGCTCCCGGGGGCAGATTGGGGAGGAGGAGGCCCAGGGGCTACTGATCTCACCCTGCTTAGGGCTGGCGACTCCTCGGGGCTTGGAGACGGGATTGGACCAGGGTGGCACTTGCCTGCACCCCAAGACCAGCCCTGGGCTCCCCTGGGCACTGGCCTCTGCCCTGCAGCGAGCTCCCGCCTGTGGGGTTGGAGTCTGGCCGCAGGGCATCACGAGGGGGCGTGCTGAGTGGGCCCCGCACAGAGAAGGGGCCCGAGGGTGCTGGGCCTGGAGAAGGAGGAGCGACTCCAGGAGACTGCACTGCCCGGGCCCTGCTGGGGCCCCCGGTGACCGGAAGGCGCTGTGCCTGGGGGCGCCCTGACCAGAAGCTCACCTCCACTCGGGGTCCCGCCCGCCCAGAGGGGAGGCTGTGCGGACCCTGACCCTGCCAGGACTCGCCGTCACGCCCTGGAGCGGGAGGAGGAGACGGGGGGTGGGGAGGCGGGGGGTGGCGGGGGGTGTGCAGACCCGGCGGGAGGCCCGTCACACTCGGGGCTCTGGCCACTGGCCGTGAGAGAAGCCCCCGCCGGGGCGGGGAGGGGCGACAAACCGTGTACAACTTCCCCCACACCCACCTCGGTGCGGACACTGCATGTTTTAATGCCGTTATCCCAAGCCTGTGAAACGGCACGTGGGCAGAGAATTGTCACGGGGGGACACGGAGGGGACATGGAGGGGATGCGGGAGGGTTTCCTTTCTTCTCTCCCCGTGCTTTCTGATCTGTGTGCCTGGACGTGTGCCGCTCCCGCAGAGGGAATGCCAGTTTGTGAAAGCCTCTCCTCTGCAGCCGGCGTGGGCTCCCACCGGGCCCTGCCCAGCAGTGCCCTTCGCAGTGCCCGGTGGCGGCTGAGGCCAGGCCCGAGTGCCTCCCTGCGGGCGGGCACAGGGCGGCTGCAGACCAGGAGGGGCTCTGCTGGCGGGGCGGTTGCCCGGGGAACGGGAGTGCGGGGCAGGTTGGGGTGGGCACACACTGGCTCCTCTGCTGGTTTGGTTTCGTTTGTTGGGAAAGCTGGCGTTGTCATGGCCGCCTGGGAACTCACCGTTCCTCCCGCCCAGCCCTCCGGCCGGACTGCAGCCCGGAGAGCTGGCCAGCGTGGGAGGTTTTGTTTTTAAAGGCGTGTCTGCGGAGGAAGGAGAGGGAGGGGAGGAGGAAGGAGGGAGAGACATGTGATGAGAATCATGGATGGCTGCCTCCTGCACGCCTCCCACTGGGACTGGAGTCCGCTACCCGGGCTGTGCCCTGGCCTGACTGGGAATTGAACCCCGACCTCCTGGTTCATAGGTCGCCGCGGCACCTCTGCTGTTTGTGTGGGAATTCCCATCTCACGGACAGCTGTTCCGGCGGCAGCCGCCCGTCATTCCCCGGCCCCTGCCCCCGGCACCGGCTTCCTGCCGGGCACCGGCTCCCCCACGGGGGGTCTGGGGCTCCCCGAGGGGACACGGGCTGGAGCACGGGTCATCATACAGCTGCCTCCCCAGGCGCAGAGTTGGCTCTGGAACAGACTGAGGGACGCGCAGGGTTGGTCTCCCCTCCACCCCCGACCCCCCCCCCCCTCCGCTCCTCCCTTCCCCCGATCTGGGGCGAGCCGGACGATCACAGGCCGTTTCTGTGGAAACACGGGCTGTGGCTTGGATTAGCAGAACCAAAATAGAAACACGCAGCTCAGAGCATAAATAATGTGGAGCCTGCAGGCCGCACGCTCAGACTCCGGCACAGTCCTCTGGCCGCCTCCCACGGCCACACGGAGGCCGCTGGGACCGCGGGCCACTCCGGGGCAGAGCTGTACCGGCATTGGGGCAGGAGCTGGGGCTGGGGGGCAGCTGAGGAAGAAGGGAGAGAGAGAGGAGAGAGCCTGGCCTGGGGCTCAGGGGCTGAGCGTCCACCTGTGAACCAGGGAGGTCACAGTTCGATTCCCAGTCAGGGCACAGGCCCGGGTTGCGGGCTTGATCCCCAGTGTGGGGTGTGCAGGAGGCAGCCGTCATGATTCTCATCAATACTTCTACTTCCCTCTCCTCCTCCCTCTCTGAAGTCAATAAAAATATGCTAGTTTTTAAAAGGAGGGAGGAGTGAGTGGCCGGGTGGAGGGCACAGCTGAGGCCCGGGAGAGATGGAGAGCTAGAAACGTCGATGAGAGAGACACATCGACCAGCTGCCTCTGCACACCCCCCACCGGGGATGCACCCGCAACCAACGTACATGCCCTTGACCGGAATCGAACCCGGGACCCTTCAGTCTGCAGGCCGATGCTCTATTCACTGAGCCAAACCTGTTTCCGCAGGAGCCTGGAGTCTTTCGAGGCCAGTTCCAGGCTGGCCGTGGGCTGGACACGGGGACCGGTCTCCTCGCTCCTCATCCCTGGCTGTGCGTCCGGCCACTGGGTCTGGGCTGGGGTCTGAGCTCTCACCAGGCGGGTTCGGCACTGCTTCTGCTCTGGGCTCTGCCTGTGTGGCCCCTTCATCTCGGCCCAGAGTTCCTCCTCCTCCTGCCCCCTCACTCCTGGCCACCGGCTCTGCTCCTCGGCCTCCTGGGCCCTTCACCTCAGCCCCAGGGCCCCGTCCACAGGGGTCAGGAGATCGGGAGGAGGACAGGCCGCCTGGGCGGCCCCCTCTCCCCCTGCACCCAGGAGCCCGCCTGCCGCTGGGGCGCTGAGGCTGTTAGCGGTCAGAGTAGCGGGGGAAGGCCCCGGAGGCCCGTCCCAGCGCCTCTGTCCTGACTGGCCGCCGGGCTCGCAGCGGGAGGCCTGGGGACGAGGGGCCTGGCCTGGGGGGTCCGGAGAGGCCGTCGGTCCGCCCGCCCCCCGCCTGCCCAGGCAGCTCGGCTCTGCCCGCTGTTTGCTCCCGGAGTGTGTGGGACCCACATTGTGGGTTCCAGCTGAAAATGCCCAGCGGGAGCCACGTTTAGGAGGAGATCTGCCGGTCAGCAATGGGTCCGGCCCGGGTGTGGGTGGGCTCTCGGGGCAGGCCGGTGGGAAAGGCCTGCGGCCTGGCGTGTAGAACTGTTCCCGGCTGCTCAGCTCTACTGGGAAGCAGCCATCTTTTCTGAGGGCAGAAAGGCTGTTGTGTTCTGGACATTTTGGGAGAAGAGGGAGAGAGAGAAACATCAACGATGAGAATTGTGGATCGGCTGCCTCCTGCTCACTCCACGCTGGGGATCACGCCCACAACCCTGGCGTGTGCCCTGACCCGGAACTGAACCGTGACCTCCTGGTTCATAGGTCGGTGCTCCACCACGGAGCCACGCTGGCGGCTTTTCTGGAGCTCATTCCTCTCCGAGGGAGCGGAGTGCGGCCGTGAGCGCCGGGAGCAGTGGGCAGGGAGCAGGCTGCGATTCGGGGCGACCTGGGACACTGGAATAAGTCCATTCTGTGCCGCCGTTGGCTTCCTCCTCAGACTCAGGGGTCGCAGCAGAGGGAGGAGCCCCTGTGGCTCTCTGGGCCCAGCCCGCGGGCCTCCCCCACCCCGGGAAGGCAGAGGAGGCTGGCCCAGGGCAGAGCCAAACCTCTACCAGCATCCAAAGAGCCACAGATGCTGTGGGCTCCTGGGACGCATCCGGGCTGTCATGCTCGCTGCCGGCACAGGAGGCGTAGCCTGAGGAGTAAACACAGCGCACCCTTTCCTGCCGGCTGCGGGCAGGGCGTGTAACTAGCCCAGGCTGGTTAGGCATCACCCCCTGTGCGCCTACAGACACACCCAGTGCCGGAGCGCTGAGTCACTGACCTCTGGCTGCTGGACACACACGGACTCCGGAGGACAGATGTCACAACTCAGTCAAGCGCCGCGGGGCCGGCTCTGGCATTAAGAGTTGGACAGACCCTCCCATGAGGCCACAGCCATAAACGCTGAGGGAGCTCTCTCCACAGGCCTCGGCTTTGAATTAAAAGGATTGAACTTGCCGAGACCGGTTTGGCTCAATGGATAGAGCATCGGCGTGGGGACTGAAGGGACCCGGGTTCGATTCCGGTCAAGGGCATGTACCTTGGTTGCGGGCATATCCCCAGTAGGGGGTGTGCAAGAGGCAGCTGATCGAGACTCTCTCTCTCATCGATGTTTCTAGCTCTCTATCTCTCTCCCTTCCTCTCTGTACAAAATCAATAAAATATATTTTTTAAAAAAATAAAAGGATTGAACTTTCGCCCTGGCCAGTGTGGCTCAGTGGGTAGAGCGTCAGCCTGCTGACTGAAGGGTCCTGGGTTCGATTCCAGTCAGGGCACATGCTCCAGCTGTGGGCTTGGTCCCCAGTGTGGGGCATGCAGGAGGCATTCTCATCATCGATGTTTCTACTTCTCTCTCCCTTTCCCTTCTCTGAAACCAAAATATATATTTAAAAATAAAATGATTAAACTTTCTGAAGTATGGTAGCAACCATACTTGGGTAAAAACTGCTGTTTGAATTTTAACCCTCCTATCTGGCTTCGGCATTCGCTACTCGCTTAAACGTAGGGCAGTCACCTCAGCTTCCAGGTGGACACCTGGAGGCTAAGGCAGTTTCCCTGTGCCTGGGACCAGAACTACAGGAGATTGACTCCCACTGACTCAGTAGCTTCAGGGGTGGAAACTAGATAACCTTTAGAGACTAACCGCTGAGCTCTGCTTCTGTGTCATCAAGTTAGGGCCACATTCCGATGTTCCCAGCCTTTAGAATTTAGAATTTAGAACAAAGGAAAATTCCTGTGGTTGGACCTTTAAAAAGACTGCCCACCCCTGGACAGTGTGGACTCCACCTCCGTGTGGTGCTCTCGTGGCGTCCTGGCCAGTTTTTTTTTAATAAATCCTTGGCTGCTTTTTTTTTTTTTAAATATATTTTATTGATTTTTCACAGAGGGGAAGAGAGGGGGATAGAGAGAAACATCGATGAGAGAGAATCATCGATCAGCTGCCTCTTGCACACCCTCCACCAGGGATGTGCCCGCAACCAAGGTACATGCCCTTGCCCGGAATCAAATCCGGGACTTTTCAGTCTACAGGCCGACGCTCTATCCACTGAGCCAAACCGGTCCCGGCATTGCCTGCTTTTTAAAATCAATCATCAGCCTCCAGTGGTCTTTTTTGTTTTGTTTTGTTTTAATATATTTTATTGATGTTTTACAGATAGAAAGGGAGAGGGATAGAGAGCCAGAAACATTGATGAGTGAGAATCATCGACCAGCCGCCTCCTTCACACCCCCCACCGGGGATGTGCCCGCAGCCAATGTACATGCCCCTGACCGGAATCAAACCCGGGACCCTTCAGTCTGCAGACCAATGCTCTATCCACTGAGCCAGACCGGTTTCGGCATCCAGTGGACTTATTTTGAACCCAGGGTTTGGCCCCACAACACTTTCAACGTAGAGTAATAAATGGCTTCCAGAGGTGTACCCTGGCCCTCCCCCAGGAGACCAGCCTGCTCCGCGGTGAGAGGCGGGATCAGAAAGGCTGTGTTGGAGGAGAGGCAGCAGGACTGGGGATGTGGAGACCAGGGAGGGTGGCGGCCATATTGAGGAGGAGTTTGACATTCCGCGCAGCCCCGCCTGGCGCTCAGCGGGAGGAACATCAGTGGTTACTGACCCAGGAAAGTGACACTCCATCCGCCTCCCTGGGGCCAGGAGGACCGGCCACTCGCACACCCAGCCGTGAGGACGGTGGCCCCGCCCTGCCCGAGGGCGCCCTGGGCCTTAACCTGTGGGGCTCTCTACTCAGGTTCTGGTCATAAAGCGATCAGAAAAGCAGCTGACACTGGTCTGTCTTCTCTGCTCCCCACCGCTCTGCCCAGGTTTCCCTCCTCCGCATCCACTCCACCCACAAGCCCGTGGGAGAAAAACGCAGGGGCGAGCCTCCCACCGACCCTGGGCTCCTGGAGCCGGAGTGGGGAGAGTGAGGCCCGTCTGGCTGAGCCTTCCGCCGGCCCCCAGCGCCCTGGCACCAGAGAGCCAGCGGGCAGCTGCCAGGGAGGCGGCCAGGGCCCCGTCTGCACTCCCCGCGGAGCTGCAGGGCAGGTGAGAGCGCTGCCATGGCCCGGCCGCAGCCGGAGGCCTGGGCTGGCGAGGGAGCAGCTGGCTGGCCCTGGTCCTGCCACGGGCCACCCAGGCGCATAAAGCTCTCCCCGCTGGCTGCTCTCCCATCTGGCTGCTCACACACCCTGAGGACAGGAGAAGGTGCAAACGCGGCTCCCAGGGTGGCGCTCAGAGGCCCATGTCACTATTGCCTTGGCTTGGGAGCCCTCTGTATGGTAAGTGGGAACATGGGCCCCCACCCCACCCCGTGGGAATAGGAATAGAAGGGCACGTGTCAATGCCTGAGCTCTCAGGAGCCTGGCCCCGAGCAAGGCCCAGGGAAGTCGGGATGGTAACAGCTGGCGGGTCCCAGGCAACCCCCCGCCCCGCCAGTGCAGCTCCTGTTGTCCCGTTGTGCCCGTTGTGCTCACTGTGCCCGTTGTGCCCGTTGTGCCCATTGTGCCCGTTGTGCTCACTGTGCCCGTTGTGCACGTTGTGCCCATTGTGCCCGTTGTGCTCACTGTGCCCGTTGTGCACATTGTGGCCGTTGTGTTCATTGTGCTCACTGTGCCCGTTGTGCCCATAGTGCCCGTTGTGCTCACTGTGCCCATTGTGCCTATAGTGCCCGTTGTGCTCACTGTGCCCATTGTGCCCGTTGTGCCCACTGTGCCCGTTGTGACCGTTGTGTTCATTGTGCCCACTGTGCCCGTTGTGCCCATAGTGCCCGTTGTGCTCACTGTGCCCGTTGTGGCCGTTGTGCCCATTGTGCCCATTGTGCCCGTTGTACCCACTGTGCCCGTTGTACCCCTTGTGCCCACTGAGTCCACTGTGCCCGTTGTGCCTGTTTCTGGCCCCTGAGAGCTGGTGCTGGGAAAGCCTGGTGGCGGCCAGCCACCAGCAGCCGCTCTGCGCCCTCGGCTCCCTTGCCGCCCCGGCTGGGCTGGTCGCCGTGTCCGAGCCCTCCCTCCAGGCAGTTCCCTCGCATCCCGTCCGCTCGGAGGCCGCGGTCTCTGGGGCTCAGCCCCGCAGGCGCCACGGGGACTGTGCCGAAGGGGAGGCGGGAACCGGCGTGCGGGCAGCCTGGGGGGAGAGACCGCACCTCACTCCAACGGGGCTTCCTAGGTCAGCGGGGAGAGCAGTTCCGGAGCTTGGCGGGAGGAAAGCACAATTGGAAAAGTTTTATCTTGATTATTTTTATTTTTTACAACAAACACATTGCAAAACAATAAAAACTTCAACAGATAAAGGGAAAGCAACGTCTCCCACAAACCCTGCTCTCCCCCGGCCCCACCCCGCCCCCGTGGGCGTCCATGGAAAGGCCGCGGGCCCTCAGCGGAGCAGAGCGGGGTCGTGGGGGGCAGCGGTGCTCTGGCACCTGTGTGGTGCCACCTCTGCGGCCAGCAGCTCTAGCGCTCTGTTCGCCGGGCTGACTAGCCTGGCTGGTCCAAAGACCGAACACAAATGCTCTCGCAGCGACGCTGGGAAACAATCCAAGGCCTGGGAGGGGCGGTCCCGTGCGGAGAACAGGGCGAAGAAAAACAAGCGTCTGAGGGTCCTGCTCCTGCAGCCCCGCCCGAGAGGCCCTTCCTCTCAGGTCCCCGGGGAGCCAGCGCCCACCACACCGCGCCACCGGCGTCACCGCAGAGCCCGGGGGGCAGCACCAGGCGCCAGAGCGCCGGCCTGCCCCTTCCCGCAGCCCCGTGCCTGGGCGGCGGGAGCTGGAGTTTCCCCGGGGCCACCAGCGCCGTCCCGGCCCCTCAGCAGCTGTCGTCGCTGCTGTCGAAGCCCAGGCGGTAGAGCACAGAGCTCCCCGGTGTGGCCTGGGCAGCCCGGCCGCTCTCCCGGGTGAGGTCGCTGAACCAGCGCATGCGGGGGTCCCCCTGGGCGCTGTCCTGGGAGGAGTGCCCTCCGAGCGGCCGGGGGGCCCGCGCTGCCTGCGCGGGCCTGGGTCTGAGCGCTCCCCCCGGGGCGGGCTGGGGGGGGTTCCGGCCCAGGCACCCCCGGCGTGGGGGCTGGGCATGGGCCTCCTGCTGCTCCGGGAGGGAGCTCTGTGCCCTGGGCCCGGGGGGTGGGGGGCACGGAGGACGGAACGCACAGGCTCTGCTCTGGGGCTGTGCCTGCCTCCGGCCGGGGGGCCTGCCTCTGCGGGGTCTCGTGGGTGGAGGCTGGCCTCCTGGCCTGGGCTCCCCCGGCCCCGGGCCCCGCTCCCCAGGGTCACCGGAGCACACAGCTTTGGCCGGCCGTTTGGGGCTGGTGCCAAAGTTGTTCACATCCAGGGACATAAGCCTCGAGGCCCCGGGAGCAGCCAGGTTCCTGGCGCCTGTGGCCGGGCGGCCCGGGGTGCTGGCGCCACAGTTCTCCGAGCTGGTCTTGGGAATGGGCTGACTCTTGGAGTTAGTCTGCGTGGCCTTGTCCCGGACGCCCCTGCTTCTCTTCCCTTCTCCGCCTGCCTCTTCCGGGAGAGCTGCCCGCTTGGCTCCCTCACCCCACACCTCGCCCATCCTCCGGCCCCGCCCCGCAGCCGGCTCCCCCGAGGCCTGCTGGGCCTGCGGGGCGGGGCTCCGGGGCCCCCGGGGTGAGGTCTGGGAGGTGCTGTCTCTCACGTGCGTGGGGCCCCGAGGCCCCGAGATGAAGCTCTTCAACTCGGCCAGGGCGCCGGGCACGTCGAGCCGGCCCAGCCGCTCACACAGCTGCTGCACGTCCTGGCTCTGCTGGGCAGCGGCGGCTTCTAGGAGCTTCAGGCCGGACTTCATTTCCACGATCTCCGCTTGTCGCTGGGCAAGGCGGGGAAGGAAGAGGTCACCAACAGTGCCCGCAGGGAGGGCAGGCCACGGGAAGGCCGCAGCGGGCTGCACTGGCACACAGCCGGCCGCAGCTGCTGGAGGGGCCTGGGAAAGGAGCTGACCTACCCTGGCCCGTTCCAGGGCCTGTGTTTGCTGGCCTCTGCTCCAGGCTGAGAATGTGCAATGTTTCAGATGCCTCTCTGGCCTCAGTGACAGTCACCACACTCAGGGAAGGAGTGGTGTGTACTTACAGCCTCACACTTCTGCTGCAGCTCCAGCATGGCCCGCTCCAGGCTGCCTCGGTCCTGCACTGCCTCCAGCACCAGCTCCCTCTGCGCCCGCGCGGTGTCTTGCACTAAACACAGAACAAGGACAATTCACCTGAGGAAGATGGCGTCCAGGCCACAGTGGGGAGGCAGGAGGGAGGCTGGCATGCCAGCAGGTCAGCCTTGGAGAGGAGAGGACGCCCGAGCAGGTGCTTCCTCCTCTGTCTTCCTCTCCCTCGGCCTGGCACTCAACCTCAGCGCCTCCGGGACCCCCAAACCTGTGGCCCGGAGAACAGCTCCTCCTCGGCCCACCTTCTGGGCCGGTCAGCAGAGGGATCTTCCTGGAAAGCAGGTATGGTCACGCCCCCTCTGGAACCTTCACTGAACCGTTCAGTGGCTCCCCACCGGCCCCACTTTACATTGGCCCCTCCCCTCCCCCCATCTTAGGCAATGTTTCCTAGGCGGCCCCCCCTCCGGCCTGTGCCGCTCCGCTCGCAGCCTGGAGCGCTTCTGCTCCACCTGTCACTCTACCCTCCGGCCAGCACCACCCGTCCATGGGGCTCCCTTCCAATTGCTGTCCTTCCTCTGGTCTCAGTCTCCTCTCCTGTCCGGCTGGATGTCCCCCTCCCTGCTGGTGGCACTGTGTGTGCTCTACCATCGTCTCACCCTTCACCTCTCATCCCCCATCACGTGGGCGCTACTGGGCGTGGTGACCGGAGTGAAATCAGGAAGTGGAGCTGGCTGCTCAGGACTGAGAACATGTGGATTTACATACATTTATTTATAACACCTTGTTGCAATGAGTCATCGCCATCCTCTCGCTAGACTGCTGTCATGTGAAGATGCTCTTATGTTTAGTCAATATGAGAAAGAGAGAGAGAGAGAGAGAGAGAGAGAGAGAGAGAGAGAGAGAGAGAGAGAAGGGTCATCAGGCTGAAGAGCAGGCGAGCCCTGATACGAGGATCTAACGAAGGATCAGCCCGGTGTGGAGCCACAGCCTGAGATCCAAATGGTGGTGAACAAGTAAACAGGCATAGAATGGGTGACACAGATGTTTCCATAGGGGCTGACAACAGTAAGGAGGGGCACCCACTCTGGAAAAACACGGTGAGCAAAGTGGAGACGGAGAAACCAAAGGGAAAGGAGCTGGCCCTGTGAAGATTAGGGAAGGTGTTCGGGCACAGGAGGCAGTGAGTACCAAGGATCTGAGGCAAATGAAGCGCTTATGCCCTAACCGGTGTGGCTCAGTGGGTAGAGCATCGTCCTGTGGACTCAAGGGTCCCAGGTTCGATTCTGGTCAAGGGCATGTACCTTGGTTGCAGGCACATCCCCAGTAGAGAGTGTGCAGGAGGCAGCTGATAAACGTTTCTCTCTCATCCTCTCTCATGGATGTTTCTAGCTCTCTATACCTCTCCCTTCCTCTCTGTAAAAAATAAATAAACTATATTAAAAAAAAAAAAAGGAAGCGCTTATTAGGACTGGGAATAGACAGGCTGGTGTGGTGTTGGGGAAAAAAAAATCGTCTTCTGTGTATTTTACCACAATAAAAACGTAAGAGACTCTTAAAATCCATGTGTCAACCAGTTAAAAAAAGGATGTTTACTTCTATTTCCAGCCCTGGATTCCTGTTCCTGAACTCAATTGTTCAAATAGTTCCCAGGCCTCCGTGTGGATATTTGTAGGAGAAGACAAACATAGTTCCCCTGCCTGGATGAGTTCCTAAAGAGCAATGTTCCCTGGCAACAGTGAGCAGGGGCACAGAGCAGAGGATGAGCAAGGCGAGCGGCGCTGGGCTCCAGAGCAGTGCTGGGAACACCCTGATTCTCTCCTGTCCCCGGGGAACTCGCCTTCCTTAAGGAGCTTTTGTACTAAGCTCATTGTTTTCAAAGCCTTTTTTTTTTTCTTTTAAAAAGTTTCTGAAAATGACTCAAATCCATAACAGTAGAATACAATGAAAAATGATCAAACCTCTCCCATGCAGACCGTGGCTCCACTCCCTGGATTTCACATGATGAGTAGTTTCTAGGATTTTGTATTCCTACATACGCATGTCCATAGAAACAGATCGTGTGTGCGCGTGTGGGTATGTCCCTGTCTTCTAGAAGTGGGCTCACTCCATTTCTGCTTTGGCTCTGAACAGCAGGTATTTTAACTTTCCTGTGAGGACGCCCACCGGCCGCTCCGTGGCCTCCCTGCGGGGATCTTCGGCCTCCTCCTGAGCGGCCGGAGCCGGCTCTGCGGAGGCGGGATCGGGTCCTGACGCTTTCCCGCTGCTGAGCTGACGTGACTCTCCTGTCTGTGGCTCCGCTCTCCCTGCCGTGCCGGGGGCCAGAGCAGGACTCAGGCCCCATGTATAGAAGGAGACTCCTCAGTCCCCCCTTTTTCCCAGCGACTCTTCCCGCAGTTCACTGACTGGCCACACTCCGCCTGAGAAGTGTCCTGGAGCAAACCCGGTGCCAATGAACTCTTTTCTCTTAACAAGGAGTCATGTTCCCTCCAGCCTGGCTCCCACAGGCGGCCTCATTCTCCATGACATGTGCTTGCTTAGAAAGGCATTCCTCTAATATTACAAAACGGTGCCATGTTTTCTTAGAGTTCTCCTTATGATATATTAAGACATCAATTCATGTGAAATTAGCTTTGATGTAAGAGTTATCTATTTTCCAAAATGAGATATTTTCTAATTTTGTATGGTGGCTCCTTCTTTTTATTATCCTAATGATCATATACATATATTTAATTTTTTTTTTTAAATCCTCACCCGAGGATATTTTCCCATTGAGTTTCAGAGAGAGAGTGGAAGCGAGAGGGAAAGCCAGAGAGAAATGTCACTGTGAGAGAAAACACATCAATTGGTCGCCTCCTACCTGATCTGGGGAGGAGCCTGCAACCGAGGTACATGCCCTTGACTGGAGTTGAACCAGGGACCCTTCGCTCTGCAGACTGATGCTCTGTGCACTAAGACAAACTGGCTAGCGCCAAATGATCGTATTTTCCAGTAGAACTGATTCCTATTGGGTAAAAGTACTGATCTCTTCTAATTAGCTCACCTAAAGCCAAGATAAAGTAGGCTGTGGATGGCCTTGGTAATCTATTTTATTTATTTTTTAATCCTCACCCAAGGATATTTTCCCCATTGCTTTGGTAAGTTTTTATTTTTCTTCCTTTATTTATCAGAACATAACTCCTCTCCTGACACAAACACACACACATCCAAGGGGCAGGCAGCTCATGAAAAACAGCAACGGAATCGGGGCAGCGGGACCGTGTCTCACACAGTCTGCGTGCCTGGCTCAGGAGTGCCATGCTTTTGAGAGAGTGGAAGGGAGGACAGGAAGAGGGGAGAGAGAAACATCAATTGGGTGCCTCCTGTAGGAGCCCCGATGGGGGGCCTGGGATCAAATCTGCAACCCAGGCACGTGCCCTTGACTGGGAATCGAATGCGGGCCAATGCTCTAACCACTGACCGCACTAGCCAGGGCAGGAACTCATTTCATTACTCCGGCCCTGGTGTCCTTAGAGGAAGAACAGGAGGAGGTAGATTAAATAGCTCTGACTAATCCTTCTGGGTGAACTGGCCGACTGTGCCGGGAAAGACCTGTGAAGGCACCAATTACACGCGACAGAGAGCATGTTCCCGCAGGGGACTGCCCTGCCCTGGGGGCACTGACGCTGCAGCATGTGCGGCTGCAAGGCCAGGGGCTGGGCCAGCGGGGCTGCCTGGCCGGGGACAGGGTTTGTCTGATGCTCCCAGGACTAACTTCCTGCTCCTGACCACTGCCTGCCAGGAAAGGGGATGACTGAGCAAGGTGCTTGTGCCCATTTTCAAGAATGACTAGCTTTCTAATCAATACAATGCCAGTCTTCCTGCTCATCCTGCGCTGGATCTCCAGAGGCCTGCCTTCGGACAGTTAAGGAGCCCTCAGGGGCAGAGGGTCAGGACCCCATGCCTCCTATAAGCCAGACTGAACGCCAGTGCCTCTGTCTTGATTTGGGTTGTGGCCCCTTCCCTGTCTGGACCTTACATGGCACAGCGCTGCTTGTAATGCCGGTAGTTTCATGTGGGAAGCAGTGGTTTCCGTGGGCACTTAGCGGGTTCCTATCATGTGCACAAAGGCAGCGCTCCTGGGCTGCTTCTGCTCTGTCTTGCTGCTGCTTGTGCGGGTAGCAGTGGGAGGCTTCCAGAACCCGTTTCCAAACAGATGCACAGTTGCCCTGTGTGTGGGATACCCAGGTTGGAAGCCAGCAGACAGTTCAGTCTTCTTTGCAGACATATGGGGATTGATTTCTAAGCCACACAAAGGCATTCATTTTTGTAAATCATGAGCAATCCATCTATGGCATTTGAATAAGTTGGCTTCAATTTGTTTCAAATAGAAAATAAACACCCAGACAAATGCAAACAAGTGCAGATGCAGCCACCATCTTGCTGTGTAGCTGCTGGTTCCAAGGGATGTCCACCGAGGGAGAGCTGTGTGTTGGCTCTTGTGTTTATTAAGGGACAGGGTCGCAGTTTCATTAAATAAAACTCACCAATTGGCAGAGCAGGGGACCGTACAACCACAAACTGACTGAGGTCCCGAAAGAGTCTGTGATTCGTGTAAAAAGCTCTCATTGGAACCAGGGCAGCCGGGGGAGAGCAGGTGGCGGGTGTTCTAACCCTGAGGGAACAGTGTCCATTTCTAAGCCCAGGGAGCTCAGGCAGCCATCCCGCTGAGACCGGGGATGCTGCGCTGCCTCAGGCAGGGAGCTGAGAAATCAGAGCTCCGCCAGTGACTGGGTGGACGATCAGTGCGGCCCAAAGGCACCTGGAGACAGGGCCTTCCCACACAGAGCGCCCCCACCCCAGTCAGTGCACGTCACTCTCAGGACTAACCTCTGCCCCAGCCTGGCATCTGAAATGCAGAATGGAACCTCACTACCTGCAGAGCCCTGGCCAGGGTCACAAAGTTCACACCCATGCTCCATGCCCTCTGTGATGCCCTCAAACAGGACACACTCACAGGTCTTGGCCACGGTCTCCAAAGAATCCAAAATAGATTGGCTTCTTGAATTGAGATGTTCCTCAGACTTTTCCACGGATGTCTGCAACTAAGAAAACCAAAATTAAGAAAAAAATTCACAGATTGTTACTAACTTGAAGAATTGTCATTTAATGATAAAAAAGTGTTAACATACTGCTATTCTACATGAACTAAAGTCAGACGATATAATTATTAAACTTCGATATAAATTATTAAGGTGTTCTAACTGAAGAGTAGCTCTGCATACCTTGTGGATGCTCTCTCGGACATGGGAGATGAAGCCGTGCAGAGCCTCACTGGAACAGGAGAGAAAAGAGAATGCATGTTTGAGACGTCTTGAAACAGATTGGATTCCATGAAATGGCAGGCATCCACCTGGTTAGCATCAAACCAGCCCTTGGTCAGAGTTGGAGACCCAACCCCGAGAAACCTCAGTGTCCAGCTGAGGAAGGAGAACACAGACTTTCCACTTTTCTCTTTAAAATTCATTCTATGTGCATCTTAAGTGAGGCTACATTTTAGCAGCTCACGTAGTTACCACAGTGGACAGACAGGCTTTCACAGTTCTATGCACAAAACTATGTTTTAGTCAGGGATGGATGACATCCACATCTTAGCTCCCATAGGTAACGGAGCTGAAAAATCCCTGTCACCTCGCTGACTCCTAACTCCTGGACACATCTTAGTCTAATGTAACTATAATAGTTAAAATAATAGAATGAGGAAGTAGGGAGACAATTTTGGGAACAATATTCATTCCTTTTTTAATATATATATTTTTAATGATTTCAGAGATGGGGAGGAGAGAAAGATAGAAAGGTCAATGATGAGAAAGAATTATTGATCGGCTGCCTCCTGCATGTCCCACACTGGGGATCAAGATGGCAACCTGGGCCTGTGCCCTGACAGGGAATTGAACTGTGACCTCCTGGTTCATAGGTTGCGCTAAATCACTGAGCCATGCCTACTGGGCAATATTCATTTCTAATGGGAAAAAAATTATAATTATTCTTCAAATAAATATCCTGCTTTTGAAAAGATTTGGATATGGATTGTCATTTAAACATTTTACAGCTTTTTTTTTTAAATCTACATAATACAAATATAAATACCAAATTTCAAACCCCAATAGGATAACTCTTCATACCAAATCTTTTTGTGCTCCACCAGATCAACTTTGAAAGGAGAATTTAATAGAACCATTTGAAAATCTACAAACCATATGGTGGGTTTTTTTCGATGAAAGATATTGGTATATTACCAATATAAAATACTTAAAATATCTAAAAATATATATAAAATAAAAAAGTAAATTAATCAAGGATGTTAAGAATAGAATGTTATTAAAATATAAAAGAGAATTAGGGTTCCTAGAAATATAACAGAATTTGAAGAAATACAATAGTTTGAAACATAATAGAAATAGAAGTAGAGATAAAAATATGGTAGAAATAATTAAGGGAAGATGATAGAAAATAGAACAAAAGACAAAGAGATGTAAAATAGTTTTTAAAAAGTTAGAGGATCAATGAAGGAGATCCAACACATACCCAACATTGAAGATAAAAAAAAAAAAAGAGTGAAAATAGAGAGGTTTGTCAGAAATATAATAAAAATTCTCAGAACAGAAAGTCCTAAATTTATAGGTCAAAGGAACTACCCCATGCCCAGGGATTATGACATGCCACATTAAAGCACATTACTATAAAATTTCAAAAACTCTATGGATAATGAGAAAGTTCTAAGGACTTCCAGAAAGAAAAAAAGCAAATGACATACACATGAGCAAGGATCAGAATGGCATCAGATTTTAAAAAGCAACATACAAAGGAACAGGCAAGGAAGCAATGCTTTAAAATGCTGAGGAAAAATAATTTCCAATCTAGAATTTTGTATCCAGCCTAATTTGCCATGAACTGCGAGGGGAAAATAAAGAACTTCAGATATACAAATTCTCAAAATATTGTTTAGGTGCCATGTACTGTTATCAGAAAGTTTCTGAAATATATGCTTCACCAAACCTAAGGAGTAAACTAAGAAAGAAGCGGACATAGAATCCAAGGCAGAGGATCCAACTCAGATAACAGCTGCACTACAGACTGAAAGTCCCAAGTTCAGATCAGAATTAGGAAGGATGCCTCTGAGAAGAAAATGACTGAAAGAATTTCTGATGTCTTTAAATATATAAGAAGCAGCTTTCTCAGTCTGGCTGTTGCATTTGGGAATAGACTTATGATTCCTACATAGAAAACTAAGCAATGCCCTGACCAGTTTGGCTCAGTGGATAGAGTGTCGGCCTATGGACAGATGGATCTCAGCTTCGATTCTGGTCAAAGGCCATGTACCTTGGTTGAGGGCACATCCCCAGTAGGGGGTGTGCAGGAGGCAGCTGATTGATGTTTCTCTCTCACTGATGTTCCTAACTCCCTATCGCTCTCCCTTCCTCTCTGTAAAAAATCAATAAAATATATATTGTTTTAAAAAAAGAAAACTAAGCAAAAAGAATGGCAATTTTGAACATTAGGAAAATGTATTTATAGTTTATATAATTTTCCTGGGCCATCTAGAGTGGTTACAGAGTGATAAGGATATAAAGATTGAAAAATGTTTCTATAGCTATATTGGATTTTGTTTTTTGCCAGAATTTATTAAAATTATGATTTTTCTGCCTATCATATAAATGAATATTTTAAGCTTGAACGTTTCCATTTGGGCCATGGGAGAGGGCTCCAGGGTGGTTAAAAGGATGACTAGTGGTTTCAGGGAGAGACTCGGGCAAAAGCCAGACACCAGGGGATGGAGAGGGGCCCCTCCAGGGCCTCTGGGCTCTAAGGCTCCTAGTCGTGCTAGAGGAGCAGCTGTTCTTTAAAAAAACAACCAAAAACGCCAAAAACTTTGTTGTTGAAAGTATTATAGAGTCCTTCCTTTGTTTCCCCACTAGCCCCTCCACTGAGGAGGAGCCTTTTGAAGAGATAATTGGCCCACCGGGGCCTGCAGAGGGGAGTCCGGTGCCGCCCATCTTCTTGATGAGTTCCACCTCCTCACTCCGGAAGCCGTTCTCCAGGACGTCAGAGCTGAGGGCCTGTGTGGGTAGAATCCAAGGCCTACAGCCCCACAGGGCCAGGTTCGGGTGCTCTGACTGCACTGGCTTCCTCGGCATCCTGAGTTTTGCCCACTCATCTTGGGAGGCTTCAGCACGTCCTGGAGGAGAATGCAGCCCCCGTGCTGGTTTGCATCTTTGAGACCTGGACACCCTCACGCTGCTTCTCGGCCAGGTCACAGAAGTGGCCCACACCCTCCAGAGCTGTGGTGAAATGGAAGCCCAGAGAGAGGTAGGTGTGGGAGGCCGCAGGGGCAGGCCGACCAGGCCGTTGACCGCAGCCTCCACCTCGATGGAATAATTCTTACGAGTGTGGGAGCTCACGGTTGTTCGGCAATCGGGAATTAAGGGAAAAAGCAGTACTGGCTGGTCTCAGAGGATGAGGATGGCTGAGTTGGTTGGAAAGAGGTTGGAGGGTAGTCAGAGGCTGGAAGAAAGGGTGGTCCTGGGTCTGCTCTGTCCACTGTTGAAGCAAAAAGCAGGTCCAGGGGACTGGCAAGGGGACACTGCCTTGAATTCTTTTTATTTTTATTAATAGAGAAAAATTCTCCAGAGCCCTCATCATTTATTCTCTTTATGTAAATACTATATACATTTTTTTGCCATCTTGTAAATAATTGTTAACAGAAATTCATTTCACTACAAAAAATAGAGAAAATGAAACAGAGAGAAAGAAGGAAGGAAAGGGAAGGTCGGAAGGAAGGAAGGAAGGAAGGAAATATCAAGTAGGACTCAATGTTTCAAGAATTTTTTTTCAGTTCAGAAACATCAATCAAACAAAATATAACCCAAAGGCCCAGAGAACAAAACATTAAGGCTGATCTATGTGAAGCAGTAAGAGGGCTGAGGGCACCTGGCCGATCTGCAGTCCCTACCACAGCCTGAGGGGCCTCTGAGGGTGCTGGAGCCTGGATTCCTAGGGGAAAGAAGTCTGTCAAAGTCTAGGAAATTTTTATCAACAGAATCAAAGTCTTCAAGTAGAACATTTTGCTTTTCTAACTAAAGGAAGATAGTTATGCAGTATAACAGATACCTAATCTAGAAATTCTTTTAAAAATTCTGGCTCCTTGCCGAGACCGGTTTGGCTCAATGGATAGAGCGTCGGCTTGGGGACTGAAGGGTCCCGGGTTCGATTCCGGTCAAGGGCATGTGCCTTGGTTGCGGGCATATCCCCAGTAGGGGGTGTGCAAGAGGCAGCTGATCGATGACTCTCTCTCATCGATGTTTCTAACTTTCTATCTCTCTCCATTCCTCTCTGTACAAAATCAATAAAATATATTTAAAAAAAAAAATTCTGGCTCCTTCAACATCAGAGCACCAGTGGTGATGTAAGCAATACACCTTCACTGCCACAGAAATGATGAAGTATATCTCTGCTTGGGTGTTATTTCTGTGATACCTAAAGATGTAGCCTTGGTAATAACTTACTAAGAAATGAACATGTTCATTTCCTCAATGGCTTCACTTTATTTTAAAAACTAGAGCCCCGCCAAAACCGGTTTGGCTCAGTGGATAGAGCGTCGGCCTGTGGACTGGAAGGTCCCGGGTTCTGTTCCGGTCAAGGGCATGTATCTTAGTTGCGAGCACATCCCCAATGGGGGGTGTGCAGAAGGCAGCTGATCAATGATTCTCTCTTACTGATGTTTCTAACTATCCCTCTCTCTTCCCCTCTGTGAAAAATCAATAAAATATATATATTTTAAAAATAGAGCCCTGGTGCATAAAATCTGTGCACGGGTAGGGTCCCGAGGCCTTGCTGGTGATCAGGGTCGATCAGGTTCCCAGCCTCCTGCTTCCATCTCTGCCTGTGTCAGCTACCACCCACCCCTGGTTCCCTGTCCCAGCTGGAAGCCTGACCCCATTCAAGTGATTGGGGCCTGCTGGCCAGGGGGAGGGACCAGGAGGTTGGTGCCTGCAGGCTGGGAACAGCTCCTGCATTGAGCATCTTCCCCTTGGTGGTTACTGCACATCATAGTGACAGGTCGTTCCGGTCATTCCTTTGTAATGGTCACTTGGGATTTTATATATATAGAAGATATTATAGCTCTAAATTATTTTTTTAAAATCAATAACACTAAAAGAATATAAAATTTAGGGTATATCTAAAAAACATCAACATTTAAAAGTGAGATAATCAGCTTGCACTGTGGACTTAAGAATTTACATACTATGTTCTTTTTTTAAAAAAATATATATTTTTATTAATTTCTGAGGGGAAAGGAGAGGGAGAGATAGAAACATCAATGATGAAAGAGAATCATTGATTGACCACCTCCTGCACACCCCCCACTGGAATCAAGCCCGAAACCCAGGATGTGCCCTTGACTGGAATTGAACCTGGGACTCTTCAGTCTGCAGGCCAATGCTTTATCCACTGAGCCAAACCAGCTAGGGCACATGCTATGTTCTTGCTCCTAAAACAAATAATGTTATCTTATTTCCTAATCCCGATGATCTGTAAACAAATTAAAGGCAGAATTTTGGGTAGAATATAATGCTACTTGAATGTTGCATTTCTTAGCTGACTTTTCAGAGGGGCCAAAACTGTGGCAGCCATATTCAAATCTGCCACAAGTTATACTTACAAGAAAGCAAATAAAGAGTGATTTAAAAAATATATATATTTTTTTATTGAATGAGAGAGAAAGATAGAAGCATCAATGATTAGAGAGAATCATTGATCAGCTGTCTCCTGCACACCCCCTACTGGGGTCTGAGCCTGAAACCTGGGCATGCCCTGACCCGGAACCAAATTGTGACCCTATGGGTTCATAGGTCCACACTCAATCACTGAGCCACACTGGCCCGACAAGAGTAATAATTAGATGAATTATGAAGGCAAGAGTGCTATCATGCTGAAATTGAATTACTATTGGCATTCCATTTTCTGTTTTCCTCATAAAAGAGAAGGTATCTTGTCTGCTTGAAAGGTTTGATTACCTGTCACATTTATCTTTTGCTATTTTCTTTTTCTCCTCAAACTGTTCCAAAAGGCCTTTTGATTTTCCAACTGACAAAGGGAGAGGAAATAAGCCTCCATCATTTATATCTTCTTCAAATAGCTGGGGTTTTGTCTGGTACTTTGTGAAAATACTAGGTTCATTCTGTTAAAAAATAATTATGGCATTTCACATATAAAAATACCTATAACATTCATTATTTTCTATAAAATGCAGAGTCAATCATAATACTAGTACGCACAAATCATAAAATGCCAGTTAAAATAGCTTAAAATCAATTACATAAATTTAAAGGCAACAATAGCTAATTATTTTTCCCATCAACTATTTTACTTATATCTTTAAAATTTTATTTTTAATTATAGTTGATATACAATATTAATTATATTAGTTTCAGGTGCACAACATAGCAATTCAACACTTATAGACCTCCCAAAGTGATAGATCATCACCTGTGTGATCTAGGCCTAGTAACCACCTGTCATGTTACAGAGTTATTACAACACTAGAGGCCCAATGCACAAAATTTGTGCAAGAGTAGGCCTCCCTTCTCCCGGCTGCTGGCACTGACTTCCCTCTGGCACTGGGGACCCAGGCTTCCCTCACAGCCCCAGCTTCGTCTGAAAGGTTGTCCGGAAGGGCGTTCGGTCTAATTAGCATATTATGCTTTTATTATTATAGATTATTGACTCTATCCTTATGCTGTACATTACATCCCTGGACTTATTTTATAACAAAGTTTGTATTTTTTAATCCCCTTCCCCTTTTCTGCCCAACATCCTCCCCCTCTCCCCACCTCTGGCAACCCTCTGTTTACTACACAGAATTACTTATGCTATCTCTGAGGCGATGAGTTAACATTTTCATATGAACAAGTTTAACTCAAATTGCTGTTGCTCAGCTGCTGGTGGACTAGAGTAGCTGGTAAGATGGACATGAAATGGACAGTGGGGCTGCAGACACATGGTGAGCAACCCATGCACGTGATGCAAAGCGCACTCTGGAGCAGCTCCTGCATGCCACAGGGCACAGATTTCGTACTGAAATACTCTTCTCACAGCATGCCCTCCTACTTAAAGCACTGAGCTAATCTTATTTGTTATATTCTGTTTGATGCAGATGAATCTGTATATAAAATCAAATCTAGTTCTAGACCAAAATAAATATACATAAATTATTTCTGACTCATAAATGAAGACATGCTGGTCTTAAAAAGTCAAGGACTCAGGAGACTTGGTTTCTCCCTCTGGCCCTTATTCATTAACTCAGAACCTGCATGTCCTTCTTCAAGGAGATAAGTATGAAAGGTTTATAAATAACAGTATGACTAGTCATAGAAAATGTCATGCAATATTTGGATCTCTCTAGACGTGGTCAGGTACTGGGACAATTCCACTTTGGAAGCGTCAGTTGGACACCCTTCGCTCTGTGAGGGCCGAGGGAGAGGCTCCGCCACCACTGCTGCACTTGTGAGCCTGGCTTGTGGCTGCGCAGCGCTCCTCAGGTGGGGAGCGCACTGACCACCAGGGGGCAGCTGGTGCACCGATGTCTTCCCCCTGGTGGTCAGTGCTCATTATGGAGACCGGTCGGTCCACCATTCGGTTGATTTGCATATTACCATTTTATTATATAGAATTATATAGGATGCTTTAGTAATAGAAGAAACTGCAAATATATTTTTTGCATTTCAAACTACCAAATAAGCGAATCACCAATAAGCAAGATCCATTTAGAAGAGTAAATATAATCGAATGGAATAAGTCATCTTTATAGCTTATCTCCTTAATGGTGGTGAAATGAGTGCAGAGAAATTCTGGCAGTCAGACTCACATCCAGAGAACCCTTTTGTAACGGTTTTGGATCTCTCAAATGGACACCAACGTCCAAGGGTGCTGACAGGGTCTCTGAACTTTCTGGACAGAACTGGGATCCAAAGAGGAACTGAGAGTCACTGAGACTGGAATAATCACTCTGATTATTAGCCCAGCTCGATGACTTTGTGGTCCTGAAATTAAGCAAAAAAAAAGAAAAGTCTAGCAAGTGGAAAACATCTTGAGCAAATAAAATCACTATTAATTTTAGAATATTCTGGACAGAGTGCTAGCTTATTCTGACTTCTCAGTCCCCTGAACACTGCCACTATGGCCTATAAAGAAACAAGAAAAAGTTGAATGCCAGGTATTTTGATTACAACAACATGGGAATAATCAGATGGGAATTCAAACAATAATACCATTATTGCTTGTACAGTAGCACTGTAGGGTATTAACACCATTTTTGAGATCAAAGTTCATAAAATTTTTAGGTATTAAGAGAACATTATCATTTTAAAAGTTGAATCTTTTCATCACTAAAGGGATATGGCATGTGCATATAAGTGAAGCAATAAGCTAGATTTACATATAACCACATGACTAAGTCTCAAACTCTGATTTTGAGTTCAGAAAAAAAAACTAAATGAGCATTATTACATATCATTTATGTAAACTTTTAAACCTGCAACATACACCACCATGAAGGTGGGGCCCTCTTGATGCCGCCCCTCTCCCATGTGAGGACACAGCAAGCCAGGAAGGAACTCCTCAGCTGGCATCAGGTTCTAGGACTTCCGACCTCCAACACTGAGAACGTTTCTGATGGTTAAGCCATCATTTACGGCACTTCACTTCGGGAGCCCAAACAGACTGTCTAACTCTCACAGTTCCTGGGCACCATAGCCCCCAGGCCCAGTGCTGGACAGAGTCATTGCTCAGTCAGCACCCACAGCTGAATGCGCAGTGCTTTCATCATCATTAAATAGGCGGAAGGAAAAAGACAAGTACCAGAGGTGCAGCAGTACAGGCAAGGGGAAGAAACTATGGGGTAACTCAGTAACCAACAGGAAGGGGAGCCTTTTTCTATGAAATAAATGTAACTAAAAGATCTTTAAGTATCAGACTATGTAGCTGAGAAACTTACCCAGAAGCTGAGGGAATACTGAGCATATCTTTGATATTCCAGACATTAAAATTCATTTCTTATGATTATTCCTATTAAAAAAAGAAACATTTAAAAAGTTAATATAATCCCCCCAAGATTGCTTTACTGGTGATGATATGTAGATGAGGACATTTTAGTAGTTATATTTTCATTCAGTTAGTGAAAACTCCCATTAACTATGAGCCAGAAACAGGCATTCTCTGAAAAATTCATACAAATTTCTCTCTTTGATACCACCAGAGAGCCCCGTCACTTGTGAAATAGTAAATCCAACTTCTATCCTCAGTTTCCTAGGTCTTTTCTCTCACCACCCTTTTAATAATCTCCTTTTAGAAGAAGCCCAGTAAATCCCACTTCATTGTCTTGATATAGTGATTTAATGTATAAGTGGTTCTTCCTGGACAATAGGCTCTTGGAATGCCAAGAAAGCTGAGGAGCTGGGCAGTAAAGAAGTCAGACGAAGAGCGAGTGCTTTATGCAAAGCCTTCCCACAGCCCTAACGGGCTTGGCTCAGTGGATAGAGCTCCGGCCTCCAGACTGAAGGTTTGATTCTGATCAAGGGCATGTACCTTGGTTTCAAGGACATACCCAGTAGGGATTGTGCAGGAGGCAGCTGGTCGATGTTTCTTCCTAATTGATGTTTCTAACTCTCTGTTCCTCTCCCTTCCTCTCTGTAGAAAATCAAAATATATTTTTTTAAAAAACCTTTCCACACTATCATAAGTTCATTATGATAGTTGTATAGCCTAGATTTCATGAAACAAGCCCGATTTCTAAATTTTGTCTCTCTAATCTCACAGAACATTTATATGTATCATTACATATTACCATAGATTCCTACACATATATCTGAATAAAACAAAACAAGTTCTGAATAAATAGACATTTAGTATACTTTTTATATAATTTAACCTTCTTTAGAGAAATGTTACATTGAAGTTTCCTAATCTTCTAGAAAAACATGAATTTGGGTGTTTATAATCACTTTTTTTGCAAGAATGTGAAGTATACACCACAGGATCAAGTATGTGCCAGACACAGCACCAGATACATTGCAAGATAAAGGTTAATGATTTTGTGAGGCAGGCATTTTTATCCTCAAATAAATTTATAAATGAAAGAGAAGACATTACAAAATGAAAAGGCAATCTACAGAATGGGAGAAAATATTCGTAAATCACATATCTAATAAAAGTTTAATATCCAAAATGTATAAAGAACTTGTATAACCTTAGCTGGGTTGGCTCAGTGGATAGAGTGTTGGCCTGTGGACTAAAGAGTCCCAAGTTCATTTTCGGTCAAGTGCACATACCTGGATTGCAGCTTGATCCCTAACTGGCAGTGTGCAAATCAATACCAAAAAAACAAACCCTAAACTGATTAAAAATGAGCAGAAGAGCCCTAGCTGGTTTGGCTGTTAGCACATCAGCCCTTGGACTGAAGAGTCTTGGGTTCGATTCCAGTCAAGGGTACATACCTGCTTAGAGGCAACCAATTGATGTATCACTCACGTTTCTCTCTCTCCCACCCACTTCCCCCTTCCTTCTACTCTCTGAAAAGCAATGGAAAAATATCCTCAGGTGACGGTTAACAATTTTTTTTTTAATTTAAAAAGGATCTGTCCTTTTTAGGCTACTATGCCGTGTCCTTCCCTCCACCCAGGTAATGACCTCACATAGCAACACTCCAGATTTCTTTCCCTGGCAACTAGCCTCCTTGCAGTTTCTTTAGCCCAGGAACATGACTTGCTCCATAGCCAGGTGCAAACATTCCACATTGTAACCAAATGTCTGTGAAGCATTTTCCGGTGCCTCATCTCATTTGATCCTCACAGAAGTCCTGGAGTAGGTACATAGGAGACTGGTGGAATCCTATTTTCATTAGACCCGACTGAAAATAAATGATGGACCTTGAAAATGACTTCAGGTTTTCTCACTCGCAGAATATAGTCAAACACTGCTGCAGTTAAATATTTTACCCTTTGTTCTCCCTGAGTGATCTACAATAATAATGTGTTTTGTGTTGATATTTACTGTTGTGTTGCTGACAGTTACCTGAAAGAAAAGTTGGGGTGCTTCACTGGGCTGGAAAAAGTGTAGCTACATCAGAAAGTAGGCCTAATTAAGCAAGTTTGTTCTATATCTATAAAAGGCTAAGTTGACTCGCTCATGTGTAATATGATACATATAAAGCTCTCGCTGGCACCAATTGTACACATGTTTCCATCTGTCATTGTCTGAATAGACACTTCTATTATAGAAAAGGGTGACTAGCGATAAAAGTATTCTAAATTTTGCCGAAACTGGTTTGGCTCAATGGATAGAGCATTGGCTTGGGGACTGAAGGGTCCTGGGTTCGATTCCGGTCAAGGGCATGTACCTTGGTTGCGGGCATATCCTCAGTAGGGGGTGTGCAAGAGGCAGCTGATCGATGACTCTCATCGATGTTTCTAACTATCTCTCTCCCTTCCTCTCTGTACAAAATCAATAAAAATATACTTTAAAAAATATTCTAAATTTCCTTTCAATGTGCACAAATTCGTTCACTGGGCCACTAGTATAATATACACACTTGTTTACCTAAAATTCAAATTTAACTAGGTTCCTATATTTTTAATTTTTTTCAATTACAATTTACATTCAATGTAATTTTGTATGTTCCAGGTGTACAGCACAGTGGTTAGACAATCGTGTACTTTACCAAACTGGTGGCCTATATTTTTATTTGCTAAACCTGACACCCCTACTCTACTGCCCCCAGCTTGGATGACTGCAGTGGCCTCCAAACTGGTTTCCCCGATTTCCCCTTACCCCACTTCATATTCTCTCCTCTATAAAGCACTCATTGGAACCTTAAGTCAGATTGCCCCTTTGCTCCACTGCTTCACCCTCCTCAAAACGCAAGCCAGCATTCCGATTGTCTTCAGTGTCCCCTGCAGGCTCCCTTAGCTTTGCCTCTCACCTGCACTCTGTTCACACCTCTCATGGGGCTTCTCACTGCTGCTCCCCTTGCTGGGCACATGCCAACTTCATTCCCTGTTCCCTCCTCTCCCCGCACAGATATCACAGGCCTCCCACCGTTAGGTGTTCTCTCCATTATTTATTCAAAATTGTACCCCTCCCAACACTGTATCTCTGCCTTGCTTTTCCTCCACAGTGCATCACTATCCTAATACACTATGTATTTTATTAATTTCTCTTGTTTTATAATGTTAACCACTTTGAGAACAGGATTTTTTGTTCACTGCTATATTTCCAGAATCTAGAAATTGTGCCTGGCACCTAATAGGTACTCAGAAAATATTTACTGTGACATTAGAGAAAATACTTGGGATCTAAAGGCAATGGAGCAAAACTTTCCAAGTATCCACAGATTTAAAAATACTTGATTGTCTTCTAATTATATTATTTCAGGTTCTTAGATCAGCACAGAGTTACTACATATTTTAAGAAAGAAGGTAAATTTAAGTAAATATTGGGTTTCTGACTCAGGTTTACTTATTTCTTTGACAGCCCAAATTTTTTCCTTTATCCGCATTAGCAGAAATTCCTCCTCCTAGTGTCTAGATTTAGGATATAGACAATTTTATATACATCATCACAAGACCATTGTTTAAGGCCATTCATTATACTTAATCTACAAGACAAATCCTCTTGACTTCCACTTCTATGCTGATGAAAGAGTAATTTCTATAGCATGTGGCTTTGGGTTTAGAATACTGCTCCCCTAATTCCAGATCTAACTTCCTTTTTAAGGTTTTTAGCTTTCTTGTCTTAAAAAAAAAAAAAAAAGTTTTGTTTTTAGGGCTGGTGGGGGTGGATAGAAACATCATTGATGGGTCCCCTACTGGGTATGGAGCTCCAAACCCAGGCATGTGCCCGGAACAGAATGGAACCAGCGACCTCTTGATACCCAGGGAGCGCACAGTCCACTGAGCAACACCAGCCGGGCGACGTGGACTTATTCTTAGGGGGTTTCCTCAGTGCGGGAGAAGGAACCCCGTGGTTATCCCGGGACTGAGCCCATGTGCTCAGCCTCCTGTCTGTCCGTCCTCTGCTGCCTGTCTCGTGTCCTCACGCTGGTGACCTCCGGGCCCTGTGAGGGCGGCTTAGGGAGGGCAATGGCCGCCCTAGGTGAATGGGAACGGGAAGGCACCCCTCCGCAGGTCCCCCCGCCCCCCAGTCCTATGAAGGAAGCACCCAAGTGAAGGTGTGAGTGAAGGACGCCGCTCTGTCGCTCAGGCACCGAGGGTTTGGTCAGGCAGCCGCCGGGAGGGCCGGGCAGGAGGCAGCCCATCCATGACTCCCTCCCGGCTCCCTCTCCTTCCCCTGAACCAGTCAAACGTTGAAGGAAAAAGGCGGCGGCCGTTTCCACAGGAAGCGCCTGGCACGGGGGAGGGCAGGGGAATGCGGGGCTGAAGGGGGCCTCAGGGCGCAGAGCCCCAACCTGACCCCAATCTGCCGCCCCCCAGTCTTCAACGCGGAGAACCCGAGGCCACGGTGAGGGCGGGCGAACCCTCCGCTCCGCTCCTGCCCTCAGCCGCGGCCCTCGGGCCTCACCAGGCCGCCGCCTCCCGCAGCCCCGGTCCCTCCTGTCCTGCGGCTTCGTGCTCCGCCCGGCTGACGCAGAGCCCGGGCGGCTCACCCCGCCGGCTGGGCGGGCCGGGAGTGAGCGGCTCCCGGGGGACCTGCGCCATCGCGTTCGGTGGGAGGAGCGGGTCCCCCTCGAGGCCCTGGGAACTCCCTGGGCTCCCACCTGTGCCCCCTCCTTCCTCCTCCCTCCTCCCGCTCCGGAGGCCGCGCCGCCTGGGCCGAGGGCGCCTGCTCTGGCTTCCAAAGCCGCGGCCCCGGAGAAGCCGACCAGGCATGCGCGGCCCCGCCCCCAGGGCCGCCCGGACCAATGGGGAGCGCTCCCGCCCTCTGGGCCCGGCCCTGCTGCAGCACGTGACTAAGAGTCCCAACGGTTTTAACGGCCGGATCCTGGCCCGGTCCACGCACGCGCGCCCCAGCCCACGGCACCACGTG